GGAACAGCCTCCCTGACTCTGTTAGAAGGTCACCTAATAGGTTCATTTTTAAGAAGAAAGTTCATGAACTTCTTCTAGAAAGCTAATAACGTTAAACTTTACTCACAAGTTCCCTTCACAGTCTCGTCATCAATATATTTTATAAACTATGTTAATAATGATTATGTATGTATGTATGTGTGTGTATTATATATATATATATATATATATATATATATATATATATATATATATATATATATATATATATATTATTAATATTATACATATATTTAATTGTAGTCTATGCATGTATATTTAGGGGGTTTTTTTTTTAAATAAATATATATGTAGTTACTTTTATTGGTGTATGTTTATAGTTAATCACTTTTTTTATATAGCCGCATTCGTGAATTTCTCTACGCCTAAAGGTTGACTGGCAGAGAATGCTTTTAGCGTTAAGTCCGCCTTTTGTCCATTTTTGTAACTGTGGCAATAAAGTTTAAATAAATAAATAAAAATAAATAAACCACCCTGGAAACACAACGTCTGTCCATCAGTCAAACTAAGTGCCCCGCCCATTGCCATCAGCCCCATCAATTTGGTGATCCGTTGAGCTATGTCGGTTATTCTAGTTCTTCTACAGATTTCCTCATTTCGGATTCGATCACGTACAGAAACACTGAGCAAAGCTCTCTCTCTATGATCCTTCTCATGAAACTCATAGTCAACGACCATGTCTGAGCTCCATGTGTCATCATTGGCACGCATTGTCCAAGCAGATTCGGCGGTTTACCTCTTTTTCGAAAATGAAGTTACACAACTGCACTTCAGTTGTGTAACTTCAGTTTGGAGAAAGAGGTAAACCGCCGAATCAACCTGCTTTGCTTGCTGCGTTCTCAAAAATGAAGTTACCCAACTGCACTTCAGTTGTGTAACTGCATTTTCGAGAACAATGCTTGCCAATGATGACATATGGAGCTGAAACAAGGTCGTTGACTATGAGCCTCATGAGAAGGATCACAGAGAGAGAACTTTGCTCAGTTTGATACTAATCTCGGGAATAGGCTGGCTGACAAAAAAATATTTATGACAACAATGACGGACCAAAGGTCTTCGAAACGAAATGATCTTTCTATGCCTTACACATAGAAGCTGATTTTTTAAGGAAATTGGATTGTGAAGATTTAATTAATGATTTGGATACACTAAAGTGGAAGAAATCGCTTTAAGCGATAAGACCGCCCATTGAAGCACTCTATGTCCCTCATATTTGTTCTGTGTTGTGGTGTTTTCAATAAAGTATTGTGTATTGTATTGTAAAGTGCAGGCGAGTTTTGTAACACATTGTTTAACACTTATTATATCTTATCTTGTACTCTTAACCTTGAGTTAAATAAATAAAACCTAACCTAACCTAAACTGTTTAAATGTTTTATTTGGCTAAACTGTACTCTCAGGGCCCAAGCGGTTATACTTCACTATAGGTTAAGTTAGGTGTTGTGACCATAATGCTCGAGCCGAGCGAGCAAAGCGAGCGTGCCGCGTCAGCAAAACAGACCCTTTTCTACAAAAAAAAATCAAGTATCACCTCTTGTGCCCTGGAAGTACAGTTTTACCTTTTATTTAAATGTGCATTTATTCCTGAAACCGCGCAAAATATTAGAAATAAGCAGCTATCATTATTTATTCCAGTAAACTTAAAGTTACTTTTACCCACACTACCTACCCGCACTTGCAATAACAAGCAGCTCCGCACAAATTGATTGTGTTTAGTCAGATATTCAAATATTTAACTCGCAATTAAGTGTTAAAAGTTGATAATACTCATGTAAAAGTTATCGTGAGAGAGAGTACTCGTGTAATGTACCTTATTCTTGCGAAATAAAACTATTTTTTTCCTAATTTTCCAAATCTATTTAGACAAAACTTGGCAATTAAGTAATGTCATTATGTAGTCTATGGTGGATGCTGAGAAAGGGGCGGATGATGGTTCGGGGCCTAAGGTCTTAGATTAAAACAAAAAGGGTAGATACGGTACGCTCATACTTGCATCAAACAAAAACTGATCCCACTTTACTACATATGCAACACTCACACATCCACCTGTTTGTAAAGATACAATCGAACGAACGAAACAGCAATTTAAGTTTCAACGGCAGCGCGAACGGGACGGCGATATGCGCGTCACTGCATTACCGACCTGAACGAAACAGCATGTTAAGTTTCAATGGCAGCACGAACGAGACGGCGAGATCCGCGTCACTGCACTACCGACCAATCACGCGACCAGTACTCGACGTCACTACCGAATAAGATTCAAAACAAACAGCAATTTTTATGAAAAAATATATTTTATAGTGCTTACGAATGAAAAGTGATGCCCTGGGTTTTATTTTTAGTTCTTGAGCAATTGGAGCACTTTTTAAAAACACACTTAGGCATTGTTTTATCATATAAACACAAAATATAAGCAATATTTCTTTTTGGCGTTCACATGTACGTCGTTTGCATGTCAAGTTGTGACTAAAGCGATTGTGGTCATTGGCCACAATTTATGCGGATCACCTTTGTGAGGCTAGTGCCGTATCTACCCTTTTTGTTTTTGTTTTTATCTAAGCCTAAGGCGGCCGAGACTGCAAATCCGCCACTAAATATACTACCATTATCGGTCTTCAGATGCGTCAAAGGAGTTCATCATAAAGGCCTCCTTCTCCATGAAATCAACCAGCATTTGGCCTCTTTCGTTTCGTTGCCCATATAGTACAGTCAATCTGTAGGTTGAGTGGTGAAAAAAAAACCTAAAGGGTAAGTCTTGTTTTATCTGTTGCCAAATGACGTCAGTAAGCCACCTTGGCGATGGGCATGTTCAACTCGTAGGCGTTTTTTGAAAAACTCAAAAAAACCGTCAAAAATTTTTTGAAACGCATTTTTCTTGTTTTGTATGCATTTTAGAAACTTTTTTTTTGACCATAATTGTAGAGGGCGTTGAGTACTATAATTTTTGTCATTGTTGCAATCTCGTACAACAAAAAATGCGCATAGTAGGTGGCGCTAAAGTCTCAAAAAGTGTTTTTTCACTTTTTCACCCTGAAAATATCATTTTAATGGAAAACTTTAAATGGCAAAGTTGTTTCGTACATAATTACCAACAACTTTTGTATTAACAATTTTTTTGTATTACTTACGACAAAGCCTGCCGACCATCCTGCGCTTGAACTTACTGAAACATCTCAAAACGATTTACGGGGGTTGAAGGACTTGCAGTTGCAAATAGTCGACACTTTTTACTTCGTTGTGATTGTGCGCTCCTCCCTGTCACTTGATTTATTTTTATGTAACACGCTTTGGACAATGGAACACGATTATCGGTTTTGTCAATTAGTATGGATGAACTGGAATCATGTTTTCTCCGAAGCGTAGAAGCGTGATTTGTGGGCGCTCCGTTTTACATAGAAGACAATTTACTATAACAAAAAGAAAGTTTGAAAAATCCCCAACCCATGCAGTGATTTTTGGATTTACTCTAGCGCGGCAGAATAACTTATGGGGGCACCCTTGCACCTTATGAAGTACAACCATAATACCAGAACCCCCTATGTAGAGTCGAACTATCTAATTATTAATTAATTCCCTTTGTTTCATTAATGTTCGTTCGTTATAGTACTTGTACCTATTTAACTTAAAATAACTAAAGACCCCCGGGATGGAATATCATGTGCATTGGCACAGATGCATAACTATAATACCTTTCAAATAAATGTAGTTTAAGCCGTGGCGGACGTGGGTGCAGCGTCCATACATTTTTGCCCATTGTCCTTTAGGAATAAATTAAGAATTTTATTATACAATTCTGACGACGCAGCTTGAAAAGGATGCGTAACTTCATAAATAGATAAATCAGTGCATCCATACCGTTGAAACTTGTTTTTTTAATGAGTAATGTGCGTGAAAACCTATGAAACAGATAGTAATAAGACAATTTTGCCGCTCTGGGCAAATACCCGGCTAGGCTCGAAAAACATGACGCATCGCGAGTCGCGACGCTTCGATGTTTCGCCAGTGCGGATTAAACCTAATAAAACCTCGCAAAGTCACGAACGCCCGCTAGTAAATAATAAGAGAAAATTTGGAATTAAGAATAGAAAAACTAAAATCAAAAATAACAAAGGAATAATATTTATTTGATATTTTGGAATTTATTACAATAGTTACCTATAGTAAATATGTAAAATAAAATAGTTTTTTTCAATAGGTACATACATGATCTTTTTTACTGCCGTCCTCAAGCTAAAACGCAGCTGAACGACAAAACAAACTTTTGAGATATGGCCAAAAAACGGCTCGTAAAATTTAAATTATTGCTATTTTGCTTCAATCAACAATTGTATAGATCACTATGTCAGTCAGTCACCTTTGAGTTTTATATATATAGATATTTGATACTAAATAAAACGATATTTGTGAAAAAAGGAAAATGTGAAATCAACCTTATGACCCACAAAATAAAAGATTTTTACCTGTCATTGGCCAGCGAGTTACTTCGTTTTGTATTAATCGAACTACTTTAAATAAAGATCTCACGCCTCTAAGTGAGGCTATATTTACCGAGACGAATTTTACGCGCTGAACCGTTATCATAGAATTGTTGATCAAAGCTATTGTAATCATTCATCACATTACAGATTTTTAAACATAAACTTTAAAAGATACGAATAATTGTTAAAACAAATCAATCGATAAATAAAAACTGTGTAAGATGCAATTTAAGACTGAAAAATCACTTAGCCGCTCTTTAGTTTGGAACGGCAGTATAACTTTATATACATTTACAAATAATTTACTAGAAAAAATTCCATGCTCACCAGGCAGTAGACAGGACTAAAAAGCCGCAACTGCTATCTGGGCGGATACACTGACCATTATGCTACCGTGGCCCCTAATGGCGATGTCGAATTCTTTCTAGTATTTCTTAGGCTGCAAGGCAGCGCCATCTCTTCGCATTGTAGGTAACCCACTGAAAACGCGAATCTAATCCATACAGTCAAAGAGCCCTTTGTTCCTTCATTGTACATTTTACATCTTAATATGGTACATTATGAGATTAATTTTAACAAAAATAGAATGGGAATATTCTTATGAATACAAAAGATTAGACACATGTAGCTAACTTAAATAAGATTATGCTTTCTTGTACTCGATTCTTTCAACTTTCACCTCATCTCCAAGCAATTTGTATACATAGGTCACTACGGTAGAGCTCTGTATGTCCATTAGAACGAATGAAGGTGTAGCATTTCTGAAACATATAAAATAACAATTTTAAGGTAAATGTTACTGTCATTTTAAGGAATTTGCCCAAAAAGTTATTAGGATAATAATAATAATGTAGGCGTCATGGGGTAATTAAATATTTATTATCTCCCATGATTTGTAAGGCATGTTAAGTAGTGCTGTGCCGGATATCCGTATCCGTATTCGTATCCGCGGATATCCGAGGCAGAAGAAAGATTCGTATCCGTGTCCGTATCCGTTACTTTTTGGGGGATCTTTTACGGATCTATTTACCTTATTAATTTTAAATTTATAGATAAAATTCTTTAAGGCGAAGGGTAAGGCGCACTAGCGACGCCAATTGCCGAGATTCTGACGGTCCACAATTATTTGAAATAGATCTGGTTTAGTAGCTTTCAATTTAAAGCAATTGGCGTCGCTAGTGCGCCTTACTCTTTGCCTTAAATAGGTGATTAGGTAGCAATAAAAACTATTAAATTCAATACAGATATTCTTTTATTTCTTAAAATCAAATATTTGGCTTCTTTATGTTGCAAACTTTGCCGTAGTGAGTTATCTTTATCATACCAATAGTATATAACTACAAGGTACTAAATCAACTAGCTTTTTAATGAGATCAATATTATAAAAAGTTATAAGATCACTTTTTATTAAGAAAACAAAACATAGATCTTCATAATATTTTAAATTCGAATTAAATATTTTTTTAATCAAGTAAACTGACACATGACACATACAGTGTTAATGTTAGATAATAAAAAAGGTAAATTTAAAAAATCAAAAAACCCGACTGCTTAATTATTCTTCAAATAAAAACTGAAAAGAAACAAACAAGTCCAGTAGTCTATAATTCTGTTAATAAGGAACAAAGCTACTTTAACAGTCGGGACCCATTAGATATTCAAGAATACATAATATTTTTCAACAGTGGGTCCCGACTGTTAAAGTAGCTTTGTTCCTTATTAACAGAATTATAGACTACTGGACTTGTTTTTTTCTTTTCAGTTTTTATTTGAAGAATAATTAAGCAGTCGGGTTTTTTGATTTTTTAAATTTACCTTTTTTATTTCACACTTTTTAGTTAGTATTTTAAGACGGTATATACCGTAGTGTTGTTACTTCAGTAAGGGAATTAATATCGCGGGAATTATTAAGTACCTTGCGTCGGTCTAAAAGATTGATTTATTAAGACATATAAAGACTTTACCAGCGGGGTCAAGGCTACAGATGGGCCTCAATTTTCGCAAAAATGTGTGAAGTTAAATCAAGTCGTAACATAAATATCTCTAATGTATGTAAATTTTACAGTAAACTAGCACTTACTCAAAAAGTCATCTTTTGTTTATGTTTTTTTTAATAGTTTAGCAGTAAATATAAAATTAATTTACTTTTATTCGTCGACTATTTAAAATTGGCAGTGGCTGCATTGTCATGTCAATGCCGGACGTCTAAGATTGTGATATACACAAATTCAGTGTCAGTCCCTAGTCTCATAATTTGATATACCTACATAATTCACAGAAACCCAATATGTAGATGCTAGAAGTTAACTTCAAATGTTTTTAATCACCCTATATACAATACCAATCAATGACGTTTATGTCGCAGGTTGAAGAAAGAAGTAATTCCCGTCTGTTGTTTTGGACAATGGTGGCAACTGCCTTAGATCACTAAATTAAATAATTATGCAATCACCAAAGCAAGGTTTATAATATTTGATTAAACTAAAGGCGCATAATAAAATTTTTATAACGTTAGGTAGAGCACCATAGCAATCTCATTTATTATCAATTTATAGTTCTCTTTGTGGTATTCTTTTAAAGCGTTCATATTTAACAGGTCAAAGACTTTGTGTTCGACCCTTTTTTATTGGTAGTGTAAAGCTCGAATGAAGAGTACTCCCAGTAGTGCAATCATGGTAATTATTGCACTACTGGGAGTACTCTTCTCTCTTTACTCTTCTTATAGAAACGTAAGATTGAAATTAAAAGCGTGTGGTTAATATACAACTTTAAAGCGTTGTAGATCCTAAACAATGATATAAAATGAAAAATGGTGTTAGGAACCTAAATATGATTTTTGATTATCTAGACAGTGATACCCCACTCGACATATTTTGTCAACTTTTTTTTTTTTACTTCGTCACAATATGGCGGCTAATTTTGCCCATATTGAATTTTGATCATATCTTTAGTAGCACTCCCATGATTGAGACGAATCGATTGATGTATGAATCATCAAAATCGGTCCAGGCGTTTGGTCTCTAGTGTGCCACAAAGGAACAAACATACATATATAGACTGTTAAACACATAACCCTGTCTGCGCGTCGCGCTTCGCGCTCTTGCATTGCGCAGCCGGGTAAAAATCACAATGACAATTAGAGGAACTTAAAAAAATTATAAGTCATAATTGAAATTTAGTAATGGTAAATTATATTACTTTGTCCCCCTAAAGTCTGTTATGATGAGGATCATAAACAATTCCTGCTGCACTAAAAAATTGCTCACTTGGAATACTTATTGGAAGCGTTATCTATGCTGCCCAGTGTCACATTAAACTAAAACAAAACAAAAAAAACCCGCCGTGCAATGCAAGTTGAAACATGTCTCAACTCAAGATCGCGCACACCGACACCGAATGTGTAAGAAAGTTAAGATCCGTATCTGTATCTGCGAATCTTGACACCAAATATCTGTATTCAGATCCATATCCGCGGATCTACATTTTTGACGATCCGGCACATCACTAATGTTAAGCTTCATGTTGGTCTGTTGTCAGTATTTTTATAAAAACAAAGAACTTGCTCACTTTTAAAAAAACTTAAGTATGATAAATATGATGTTACCCTTTACAATTACTTTTAAAGAAAATTCTTTTTATACATGCCAATGGACACAATAAAATTAGTATATAATTGCTTTAAGGTTAAAATTTATATATTTACTGTTGCATTTTGTAGCTCCTTCTTACCTAAACAATGGACTATACGCCCCTGTTGCCGATCCAGGATTAATGTAGAATTTATTCTCATGTTCGTAAGCTTCAAATCTGTGTGTGTGACCTGAGATCAGTATGTCGACATCTAGCTGCCTCTGAACTAAAGCCAGGGATTCTTCATCACCCCAAGGCACCACTTGGTGACCATGTATGAGTCCTATACGGAACTGACCAACCGTTATCACTTTCTGCTCGGGATATGTAGTATTCTGTAAAGACATTAGAAGAGTGAATTGTAGATAGCTATTCTTGCCAATTTATGTGTCGTATGGACTTCTGAATACAAAAAAAACTCTAGGATTATTAAAAGTATCATATAATCAGACAAAAAAATATATATCTGAATATGTCAAAGTCATGTAGAATGTTCTGTAATTTTATTGTCCGTCAAGAACACAAAATTTCACAAGTTTTCCTTTGAATTGACTCGAAAAAGTTACTAAAATAATATACCCACATCATCAAAATCACCTCTAACAACATGGACATCACTAGCCAATGTCTTCAAGTAGTCGTAAGACTCTTTGGTGCACAGGTTCCCTGTGCAAAGTATGTGCTGGATACGACCCGGTAACAATAGTTTCTTAAACTTGGCGGGTAAGCTGCTGCAGCGGTGGGGAATATGTAAATCACCAAGTACGAGCACCAACTGAAAGTACACCACATACATAATTAGAAATGAAATTGATGAAGTTGAGTTGAAATCCAAGATTAGAGTACTATAATTTGAAAAACATTGTCCATTGTGAAGCAATACTAAATTTTAAAGATTACTATAGTAATTTTAGGGTGGCGTAATTATGTGGCACCATTATAAGCCATAAAATATAAGTAGAAGAAGTAATTTATATTTTAATGTAACTGAATAGGGAGGTGTAGGAGGGTACCTAATCGTTCAAAATAAATACCATTTTTAGTTGGTTATCCTTTTGAAACTTCTGTGTTTTATAGACTTTAGTTAAGCACTTCCAAATTATTTGATACCACAATTATTATAGATATCTTCTAATTTTATTAGAAATTTTAATGAAAATACTGAAGTCAAGCCAGCTGAAACAAAAAAAAATTTGACAGAAGTAGTGCTGTGGTGTGGGGCGGACCGGCGCGGACACCGTGACCACGACAATGAAATATTAGTAGGTGATCGTATATATCAATATCGATTTATCTATTCTGTAATTAACTTTGAGTATCTATTAAACGCCTATGCTCAGCAGTGGGCGTCGTACGACTGACATGATGATGATGAACTATTAAACTTTAAAGAAAAAGAATATAGAAACTCTAAGGTAATAATTGAAATTAAAAAAAATGTATAAATGTTACACCGTCGTTATATTGAATGCAGTAATGTACCCATAAAACCATGTAGTTTTACTTAATCAATATTCTCTTAGTGATAGCAATACCAGTCACATGTGTAGCACGCTTCTTGATATCGTAATACGCCACCTATAAATATCGACATCATAACGCTGCGGATGAGTCGTGACGTGAGCAAAGGTGTACCGTACTGAAAACTAAAGATGTAGCAAAATATTTTAATCAACAGGCTTGAGGCAACAAAACTTGTCTCCACCCTGGATGAGTAAAGGAGCGCTTCTGAACTGAGTTCATGTTCAAAAAAGAACATTAAAATTAGAGCAAAATTAGAATATTAACATACAACCAGTTGTGTCAAGTCTCAAGTCATATAAAAGCATAGATCCCAGCATGATTAGTTTTGAAGGAACCAAATCACAAACCGTTTTAAGTATTAAATTCAAGTGAAAGAGTTAAATTGATTATATTCCCTTTAAAGTAATATCATGGTGCAAAAAAAAGTCATTCATGAGTTAGAAGATTAATTTTTGTAGTGAAATATTCAATAATTTCTATCAATTAGATACATCACTAGGAACAGACAGATACAGAATCATATTTCTTCCTATGAGGGAAGGCTATGAAGTTTTGAAAATACAGCCACATAAATATTTTCATTCTTATTTTATCATTAAGCAAAGTAATCCTACCTATTTTTAGAGTACCTACTCCAAATTTTAATCAACTAGGTAAATTGTAACTGTGTTTGTTTAAACAAGGAAAACAATAGAAGGCAAAAAAATAACGAACTACATTGCTTGCTATTGCTAATGGCTATATGGTTTTGCAAATGTGTTTCGGTGTGGAATTTTAATAAGAGTCGTGCTTTAGTGAATTTAATTTATACTATTACTTATTTAATATAATAAATATACTTATTTAATACATTTCCCTGGTATTTTTGATATACTTCAATGTTTGCTTTTATTTTACACAAACGTGAATCGGAACGACAGGAAACAGTTATTTAAAAAAATATTAAAGTTGTCTATGGCATATTTGTTTTAATGTTGTTAGCACTGAGGAGTCTCCATGTTTTCACGCAAATCGAGGGCAGAGAATGACTAGAACATGTTAGATTAGATCATTAAAATTATGACGCCACGTTGCAAATTACAACCTCAGATTTGGCCCTTATCAAACTGTTTTTACAATTTATCATAGCATATATTTTTTTTAAAGTATGTAACTGCTTGATGTTTAAATCTAAAGAAAATATAATTAGCAAAAATTCCACGTGGACCAGGCAGCATACGGGACTCGAACTCACACCCTTCGCTATCCGGGCGAATGCACTAACCAATTATGCTACCACGATCTTGATGTCGAAATTCTTCTAGCCATTCTTAAGCTGCAAGGCAGCGCCATTTCTTCGCATTGTAAGTAACCCACAATGTCAAATGAATACTTTTACAAGTATTAAACATTTGAAATAAGAAATCGCAATTATAGTTATATTTTTTTTAGCATGACGTAACTGACTAACTTTAAATCTAAAGAAAATATAACTAGAAAAAATTCCACGCGGGCCTCTACGCGCTTCAAATCAGCCATCAGGGCCGCGGTAGCATAATTGGTCAGTGCATTCGCCCGGATAGCGAAGGGTGCGGGTTCGAGTCCCGTCTGATGCCTGGTCCGCGTGGATTTTTTCTAGTTCTATTTTCTTTATATTTATCATAGTATTTAATAATTGCACTCTCACTAGATAACTGCTTTTCAAAATACGCATCCTTGTGTAAACTATAAATAGTTATCATTTTTTATAAAACCTGGCGTCATTGCTTCAAATTTCACGCGTAACCAAACTTTTTTTTTATTATTGCTAAGTAACTAAACACGTGAACATTTTGTGATTTTCTTCTATTTCTTAAAATTTTAATAGAAGACTAATTTACGGTCAACGGTCATAGATACCTATAAATATAAGATTAACATTTAAATTATAATATACTATGATTAAAAAAACAATCGCATAATTTGTATTATCAGATCCATTTAATTACAGCTTTGCCAGGAATGATTACCATAATATTTGAAGAGAACTTATATTCAATTCATAATAATTTTCAGAAAAAAAAACTTTTTCTAAAATGAATATGTGTCGTAAGATGATTTACTGTTAACGTTTTTTTTAATGTGACTTGTCACCCGCTGCAGAGGCAAGCTCGCTACGCTCGCTCAGCTCGCGCGTCTTGGTCACGACACTATATTTAATAATGAATATTAATAATAAGCTTCTATTTGCAATCTTACTGAGACAACGTGCGTTTTCGCGATCTGTTTTTAGTAAGATTGAAAAATGTCAATGTCTTATCCGCGAACTGTCAGGGATATCATCAAAGGTATCAATTCGCTTTATGGTATGCTGATTACATTCATTAACAAAATGAACCAAATAAACAAACCTTCCATACATACAGTTGACGAAAATTTTTATCATTTGGAGATTATAATATAATTCACTTCACATGGCTATTTGTTTATGGGTAGTATATTTACCATTAAACAAATAACAATACCTATTGTTACGAATTTCCATCTGAAATTGAGGTTGACCGTATGATATTTTGGGGTAAATGGATTTAATAACCGGGCAATTTTTATTTTGGTCTTTCTCTATGGTGCAGGTGCGGAAAGAAAAGAAAAATTTCATGGTGTTGTGGGTGACACATATACGTAGAGAAAAATTAGTGTAAGAAAATTACATTGGCACCAACTGCAGGGAAATGGAATCAATGGAATATGAGCTCGCTAGAAATCTCACTCTGTTGTTTTTCGTGGAGCGCCTGCTCGACAAAGGCGAGCCTCGGACGTTGCACGATCTTTCCTGCCAGTTTGGTGCCAAAGGGTTCACGAAGGAGATGCGACAGATTGCTGGCGGGTCTCAGTCGGGCTTGAAGAAGTTTCTGGCCCAGTACCCGGCGTTGTTCAACATAGACGGGGACTATGTTGATATCAACACGTTCCAGAAGCATCAGAGTGGGGCTGGCGCGGGCTCCAACAACGATTACATCGAGGAAGCAAAGGAGTACTTCGCGAGCAAGATGATCCAGTACGGCGAGGGCACCGAGGTACCTATAAAAAGTCTTCTCGGACATCGAAGCCAGGCGTCCCCGCAGGTGCGTCACATCTCCGGACAACGCATCAAGGAGTTCAAGGACTTCCTGTTGAAACACCCGGACACCTTCCAAATAATCGAAGACAACGTCGTTCTAGTCAGTGAAAATCACAGGAGAGGTAACTCGCACAGTAATAATGAACAATTCCACAATCTGCCCGTACCTAACATTAACACTGACACTGCACAACAGCTTTTAGACTATGTTGCGCAGTGCATAGAGGCGAAGGGGCCTGTCATGGTAGATCAACTTTTTCACCTCATTGTGTCCCGTTTCCCTCAGGAATATTGGTACCAAATGTTCAAATCACCTGCAGACTTGAGTGCTTTCTTAAAAATATTCTCTGATAGTTTTCACGTTCAATCGAACCTTGTAACACTTATTAGCAAACCAAAAATTCCTGTAATGTATTTAAATGCAAAGCCTAAAGTTAAGACTGATGCACCAAAGCCTATGGTTGAAGAGAAACCATTGTCGCCAGCCCCTCCCACAGTAGTGAGCCCTACTCCCTCAGATGGTAAAATGAGTCCTGCTAACAGAATACTCAGCCCTATTGAATCTCCCCGTGGTCCCCAAGCAAATATAGCAAATCAAACACTGAAACAACGGATCAATTCAATAGTTATTAAGAATTTGGCAGAGAATATGGTTAGGGATAGAGTAAATAATCACTTAAATGCACGTCCCGAGGAAATGAATGGAACGCCAAGCTTAAGAAATAATATGATGGGTGATGTGTGGCGTCAAAAAGTACTTCAGTGCACAACTGTTATTGCTAATGCTAGAGAATGTGCAACTTTAATTGATAGTATTATGAATCCAAAACGCAATGCAAAAAGTATTGTTTCATTTGACTGTGAAGGAATAAACCTCGGCCTCAAAGGAGTGTTGACATTGTGTCAGATTGCTACCATGAATGGTGAAGTTTATATTTTAGATATCATGGCATGTCCAAGTATGGTAATTGACGGTAAAATAAAGGAACTGTTGGAAAGTGAGAATGTTGTGAAAATAATACATGACTGTAGGAATGACTCAGTTAATTTACACAACCAATTTGAGATTGTTTTGAAGAATGTATTTGATACTCAGGCAGCCCATGCTGTATTACAATTACAACAACAGGGAGTGCCAGTTTACAAAGTGAAGAATCTTAGCCTGAATGCTTTGTGCGAATTGTACAATGCTCCCATGAACCCCATGAAAGAGCAACTAAAAAATGTTTACCGCAGAGATCAGCGCTATTGGGCAAGAAGGCCATTGACAAAGGACATGATAATCTATGCTGCTTCTGATGTTCTGTCATTAGTGAATCCAGCAATTTATGCATTCATGTCTAGTAATATCAAACCAGATAACCAACAGCTGTTTGAAGAATTGAGCAATGAACAAGTGTTTATGCATATTCAACCCACAGAGGTTAAATTACGCAAGAGACAGAGAAAAATAAACACAGAAGTTGGTGAACTTAAACTTAAATTAGCTGAGTCTACAAAGAATATAGTATTGAGCAACAGGGAAATCAGATTGCTCAGATATTTAGAGCTGACTGAAGAGGAAAAAGAGAAGCTTAAAGGTTGTCACAAGATATCTAAAAAGTTAGAGAAATTAGAAGCAATTGGACAAGAAAAAGACTCTGATTCTGAAGATGATGAAAGAGAAAATGAGATGGTTAGTTTAGAATCGAATCCTTCTGATCCAATCTCATCTCCCCACTCCACTCAACCCCCAAGCCTCACTGAGTCTATGCAGATGATGGATGAGATATTATCTGACACAAATATGGACAAAGTTGAGAAAATAAATCGCCTAGAGGCAATACTGTCGGCAGTTGCGCCGCTCAGTGGAGAATTGGAGGACAAATTCTCCCAGACCATGGAACAAACACTGCCATTGCTCAAGAACAAGGATTGGTCCAACCTTAGCCAAATCTTGAACATAGGCACAGTAGATGTTGATAGGAAGAATTGTTCGTGCAGATGCCATAATTCCAATTTTAATGATGGGAAGTGTAATGATCTCATTGAAATTAAGAAGTCTGAAGTCGCTTCACAGACCCTCAGCACGGGGGATATCGTCATAACGAGAATCCATTTCAGGGAAGAGGACAAAGCTAACGAGAGGGTTCTCGACGCATCCCCCAACAGCAAGAGGGCCGGCATCAACAGTATGTCTTGATGCTGACGTTCGAGATGTTACTTCCATTTTCCGAGTGCCACAGTTTAATTTTGGAACTCTTCAAATGTGATTATTTGATTTTTGTAGTCATTTAAGTTCGTATTACCCTGCTCATGCGGCGCGATTGCTTTGGTGATTCCGTTGTTCTCGTTTGCCAGGAGAGTATAATAGCGGTGCGAATGCGAGAAATGGAATAAATTAAGTACGTTGTGAGGTCGCGCATTTCAAGTGTATACTCGCCTACGCTATTTGCTCATTTGAGCGGAGATGAGCGTGTACACTCGAATAAATGCAACAGTAATTCGCATAATAAGCAGCTACTTAATTCCTCCTTCTACAGGAACACAGTCTTCTGTTACAATATTTTATATTTACCTATATTTTTACGTTGGCTATTGCCTGTTAAGTAACCGAAACTAAAATGTGATAGATTGCATGGCCTTTCTCGATCTGTTTTGAAATGTAAATAAGATAATCTTTATTTAACATGCTTAATCTTTTCACCTCAGTTTTTGATAGCGAGATGGATAGAGTGCTTTCCGATACTAGATAGTAGTTGTACATATCTATTTATTTTTGTCACATTATTTCAGTGGCTCCGTCTACGTCACTGGTCTCATTGAAATGGCAATAATAGTTGTATACAATAACGTTTTTATTGTAACATATTTATCAAAGTTTAGATAATATTCTAGTATTTAAATAATGTTTTTAAAAATATTAAAAATGGTTTAGGGTCTAGTGTTATTGATGAGAACTTTCTTGTTTACGTTAGTGATCGCAGACGTTTGGTCGTTTCGATCGTGTTGTGTGGGGCGGTTTGTTATTGCAAATAGGCGGTTGCAATACGATTAGGATGGATAGCATAATATATGAAACTTTGTTTATTGATTACTAATTTTGTGCCTTCAAAGTCATATCCGACGATTGCCTTTATTGAAGATGATTCGTCAATTTTTAGGTACTTTTATACGTACTAGTATTTACTTACCGTTGTATATTTAAATGCAGAGGCGCACTAAGGTCGCAGCGTATTACTACCCTGAGGGTAGTAATGTACGTATAATCAAACTTGAGAGACCTAATTCATATAAGTAATTTATCTCATTCGCTTACTCATTATTGCCCTGTGGCTGCGGCCTTAGCCGACGCAACTGTTTAATGAAAATACTATTTTCTGTAGTCGGTCCCCCAATGCCGTTAAATATACTCTATGATTCATTTTACTATGAATGTAGATTTTAATTTTCTATTGTTATTTCTGTCGTCCGCCTGTGAAGTATAATATTATGATCGATACAGATTGTTTACTTAAATGTTAGAATTTTTAGACTCGAATTTAGGCGAGAAGTTGTGATTCACCATGAATTTCTGTCGATCTTAGCTCACAATAGTGTGTATCGTTTTATTGGCTTGGGGTGTAAGGTTTATCTAGTTCATGGATTTGAAAATAAATGTTCTCAAAGTATTTTTTTTCCATATAAACTATGTTCAGTAGCTTCTTAGATGAGTATATTTCTAAGCCTGTTGAAACCATTCGAATAGTTTATTTTTATGTTATAACAGTGTAAATGTTTTGATGAACTGAGCGATGTTTTCACGCTTTATGCTTATTATGACGGCAACGCGGCTTTTTTAAATGATTATAACTGTATGTATACTTTGTCAGTATTGCACCCAAAAGTTGTTGAAACGAAATAGTACATAAATATCTTAGTATTAGTAAATGCTACAAATGCATTTACAAATAACTGTAGTAACAATGAACTTTTTTTATATTTTAAATTTTTGTAGCATAATACGTACATAATATTTTGAAAGATATTGTAATAATGAATTTATAAAGTCAAAATCAATCCATTGGCATTTATTATCTAAATCATAATTTTGGTCATAATAAGTTTTCTTTTTATCGTTTTAATGGAATCGTGCCTTAATACACAGCACAATTTATATCAAGTAGTTTTTCATACATTGTTGTATGGCGTTTTTTTTCACTCAGTGCCACTAATTATTACTTATATGGGCTATATACATAGGAACATATTATTTTAGTCAATTTAAGCTTAATACTTCCTGTTATATTTTTCTAACAAATATTTGGAACTTTATTTACCATAGTCTAATCAGTTCACTCACGTCGATAAATTAACTATTATGATGTGGCAAATTGTTAGTTTACTAATTTGCGCATTGTTTATGTTTATTATAAATAAAAAAGTTGTATTAAATTTATTTTCTTTTCTTTAAAAACTCTAATTAACAAGCTTACACTTTCAAGTTACAAGAAGATCAACTACCCTCTTGGTTAAAAAAAATATCAATTATAGTTGATTTTAGCACGCAGTTGAAGTCTTGCTTTAAAATCGTTGACACGGTTTTCCTGTCCGTCCATGAAAGGTACGCATATATGTAGTTATAACCTGTATGAGACAGGATAATTTTTATCCCGGAAAATTGTTAGGTTCTGTGGGATTCTCAATATAGTGTATGTATCTCAGTATAGTGTAGTGCTTATGACCACACGACTGAATTGAAACTTCTTTAGCTCCATCTGTATGTATTGTGAGTACAATATATACATGTATGTACATTTAAAATACATATTTCATTTACTAGCTATAAGAGAAAGAAAATGTGCGCGCGCGCTGCTTTCTCTTGCTTATATCCCCCACTGAACTCCCGTTCGCCTCGTCCGTACACACTTCTCGTAACGCGTAAGGAATTCGCCAGCTTACCCCCCAAGTCAAGCGTGCGTAAAGAAGTTTCACTTCAAAAACCTAAAGTTAATGCGGGCGGCAGCAGCTAGTAATAAATAAATTGTAAATTACAGAAAACTTGTTTTTTCAACCTTCGGGGTTACCGACTACCTCAAACAAAAAATAACGAAATACCCTACAAGATCAACATTTTTGTCTATCCGTCTTTCATCATGATGAATTATTATTATTCATTCATTCATGATTAATTTCCGATGATACCTACCAGCGGAAATTGACAAGTACTAATAATCTGCCTTTGAAGAAATGACATGGAAAGGAAACCGGCTCGGGTTTGTTTCAGTCAGTAGGAGTCTGATATAACCGGATGTGAAATAATCATGGATAGGGTGGGTATTCATGAGTATTTCACATCCGCTCCCCCCTTAGAGCACATCTAAGGCCACCTGGGAGCAAACATAGAAATACAAACACAGACTATGAATACATACTTTGGTATGATCCGTCCTGCACAAAGAATTTTAGGTACATACCTACTTAGTTATAATGTGTAGCAAATGTTTTTACTATTCGCACAAATAAATGCCTCAATCGGGATTCTAATCCCGGGATTTGCGTCATCGTTGAGCTTACTTTTTAATCACAATACAGTAGGTCAACTTCAAGTATCAATGTAAGTATCTTCCAAATTTCGTAAAACAATTATGGGTATTTAAATAATGGGCAATTATGTACCGGGTATTTTAATTAATTTGTTCGTACTATTAGTATTATTACTCATTAGAAAGCGTTTGTATTGGTTTTGCGGTTACACGACATGCCTACTTAAGCGAGGGGGCCAGCCAAATTGCATAAGACTATTGTACATGATGGTGCGTGCATAGTAAATTAATGAGTAGCATTTTTCGAATATTAAAATTGCAATGAACAAAATAATAATCATTAACAATTAATTTGAAAGTTACAAAATTTTGTTTCCCTTTCCGTTGAGCCGGTTCTCTGTTTTGGTAACCGATTAGGGGTGGGGCCTAACTATTTTGCTAACGACGATCGGATAGAACTTGTTTTGTTAATTATGTTTTGTAAGGAAATTGGCGCAGGTGACCCGGCTGAACGGAAAGCGTATTTTGTTACTTTAAAGTTAATTAGTATACCTGCCTAATCTGTTGTAGCAGTTTTCAGCCAACGGTAAGCAAAGAAAAGGGAAATGATAATGCCAATGAAGTACGAATTTCAGAATTTATGGACCTATGTAACTTTAATTAACCAAGTAGGTACTTTTCCAAAAATAAAACAAAGTGCACACATCCCCAATGATTTCTTTAATGGTTTACACCTCGATAATACTGCAAATATTAGCTATGGGAATTATTAATGCGTCGTGTTGTTTTTTTAAATTATATATGTATTAAAGGAAGGTTGTACAAAATAAAATTTATTAAGATACATTAAAGTTTATAATGTTGATAAAGTTTGTTGTCCTTTCGTCGTAAGAAGTACAGAAATGATCGTAACCCTCATATCTGTGCTTGAGGGCTTGCCGTTGCTGAATATTGGAATTTTTCTTCGGTTAGGTTAAATGATATTATGTAAAATATCATTGGTGAGGTTAAGTTATGGCTGTACACGACCATAATTGACCAAGACAATCCAGGTAACGACAATTAATAAGTTAAGACGTCTCCAGAGGCGGGCATGCTGTGCAATCACTGGCTGCATGAAAACCACTCCCACATCAGCACTGGAGACAATACTTAACGTGAGACCACTCCATTTGTTTATACAACAGGAAGCTACATGTACAGCCACGCCTAAGCATGCTGGGGCTATGGAGAGACAACAACTCCCCGCACACCAGCATCTTAGCAGACATACACAGGCACTTTCCGTATTTTGCAGCAGTAAACGACCTTATTCCTAAGACGTACGTATTTGCCAAAAACATACAAAATTCAACTTTATTAAGACACTCCGGACCTTTGTCTACATAAGGAGTTGAGGGTCTACACAGACGGTTCAAAAACCAACTATGGTACAGGTTCGGGTGTCTTCTCCGAAGACCTAAATATACACATCACGACAGCTTTGGGTGCCTATAACACGGTCTTCCAGGCAGAGTGTGTGGGCATCATCAGAGCTGCTGAGGCGATAGAATGTCGCGGGGTAAGAGGAACACATATTCGTCTCTCTGACAGCGCTTCTGTCCTACAGGCACTGGACAACAATATAATGACATCAGTCTTAATTTATGAATGCCACAGTTAGTTGACTAATATTGCTAACGACAATAGATTGACCTTACAGTGGATTAAAGGACACAGCGGCTCAAGGGGTAACGATGCGGCGGACTGCTTAGCCAGGGAGGGGTCCAGCAGGACGGCCATTGGTCCCGAGCCAATTATACCCATACCCTATCGGCAGCTGCGAACCTGGATAAGGGAGCGCTTTCAACGACAACACGACGAATACTGGTCAAAACTCACGGACTGCAGGCAAGCTAGGGAAACCGTTCCTAAGGTAAACCTGCAGCTAACACGTAAGTTAATCAGACTACCTAGACAAGCCCTAAAACAAATCGTGGGTATACTCACGGGTCACGGCTACTTCAACAAACACCTTTGGAATACAGGTATTTCTGACAGCCCTCTGTGCAGAGCCTGCCTGGAGGAGGATGAGACGAGCGCCCATGTCCCACTGGAGTGCAGGGGCGTTGCAAGGCAAAGGACTTCTCTAATGGGAAGCCCGAAGACAATAGTAGAGGCCTGCAGCAACATTCGGGGACTGCTGTGCTTTCTGGAGGAGCTGGGATGGCAGGACTGATGCCCATCCCCACTCAAAATAGGCATTGGGTGTCCAGTTGCGAAAACAGCCCGCCGTACTACTAAGACTAAGGTTACGTTATGCCTTCACCGTTATGGCTCAATTACACTTGGTCTCATATTCTTGTGCATGAAAGATAATACTCGAATTCACCCGAAGCAATATTTACACTGGGATACGGGCTGGATTGGCTGGGATAATGGCTCCGTTCATTTACACTTTGTCGTTTACCCGAATACCTACCAATAGCAATCGTATTCGGGCTAACGATGGATCACTGGGGATGTGTGCAGGGCACAAATATCACCTTAACCTTAAAAGGCTAGGTACATACTTATTTTATTGTTGGGAAAATGTGTGACCCCTATTCTGCCACCAGGAAATGCTAACGAGGTCACCACTCAGCCAGCCTAATGGACTGGCTACTCACTAAAATCCTAACAAAGCTTAGAGCATATACCATTAGGTACATCACTTTGGGCCGGTGGTACAGATTAATCCGAAATTGGGGCCAGATGACGATCATCGCCTGGTGAGTCAACAGTAATCAGGTCACAGGAATCCTGTCGGTTGCTTCCGAAGATTGAAAGGAACCAACATCTAACAAGGTGGCATGCCCAACTATCAATAGAGGCCTGTGCAATGAAAAGTCCAGAATCCGCTGGCCTCCGAAGTGGAGAACTAGAATACATTCTTTAGATTTTAACATCAAGTAGTTACATGCTTTAAAAAAAATAAAAAATATTATACAGTTATTTCGCCGCCTCCTATCCCTCACCATACTGCGTCGGAGAGAGTTATGTGGAATTGCACCTCATGGACCATCTCGCGGGAGAGGTCCATCTGTGAGATATATTGTGCTCTCTCTGAAGTCCTTCACTGGTTTACGGTAAATAATTTAAAACTTAACTCCAGTAAAACAAAATGCGTTAAGTTTACTCTACCTAATGTGAGGCAAGTTAATACTAGTATAAAAATAAATGACCAGCCTGTAGAGTTAGTGGATTCTACAAAGTTTCTGGGTATTACTTTAGACTCTCGTCTGCAATGGGATCCTCATATTGATGCCTTGTCAAATAGATTGAGCTCTGCAGCTTTCGCTGTTAAAAAAATAAGACTCTTAACTGATGTGGAAACGGCAAGATTAGTTTACTTTGGATACTTTCATAGTGTTATGTCATATGGCCTTTTGTTGTGGGGCTCAGCCGCTAATATCGAAAGTATTTTCATACTGCAAAAGAGAGCTGTTCGCGCCATATACAATTTAAAGGCAAGAGAATCCCTTAGAGAAAAATTTAAAGAACTTAATATTTTAACACTGGCGTCGCAATACATTTATGAAAATTTAATATATGTAAGAAAAAACTATGATGAATTTGCAAAAAAAAGTCAAACCCATAACTTTAACACGAGATTTAAGAACAAGCTTGCCGTTCCATGTTTCAGAATCCAAAACACAAGAGGTTCATTTCTGGGTTGTAGTATTGCATTGTTTAACAAAGTTCCCCAAGATCTGATTGAGCTTCCACTGACTAAATTTAAATCTCAGATCAAAAATACTCTTATGAATAAGGGCTATTATAAAGTTGATGATTATCTAAATGATCGTAATGCATGGACATTTTGATATTAAATGGGTATTAGTCATTTTTCATAACAGTAATATTGTACCTATCTAATGCCGCTTCCTATATACTACTTAAAATGTTAACTATAAAATTAATTGTAACTATATATTTATATTCTAGATGATGTAATGGAAAGTGACTTCAGACGTATTTCTGAAGTAATTTTTCAACTTGACGACACTGTATATAACAATACAGGGAGAAAAAAACAGCCCTTGCTGAGTTTCTTGCCGGTTCTTCTCAGTACAAGGTCTCCCGCCGTAGTTTTGCGAACCGATGGCGTAGCTTTTTGACCTTCACAAGTGCTTGTAACAGCCTAGACTGAATAAATGACATTTCATTTCCTTTCATTTCAGATCACTTTTTCGCAAGCGACCACTGTCTGCCAGGGCCTGTCACTACTCAGCAAAGCTCTGACTATGTTAAATATGGAGTCCATGGTGTTGCGTCCACATCGGGCATTCCTCGAGAGTGTGCCGTGCTGTGTCTGCTGCATTAAATATATTGTAAAGTTAACTAAATGTAAGAGCACACACAGCAGGAGTGACATTGTTTCATACAATGTAAAGATAATAACCATACTACCTAATGCCAAAATATTTTTGCCATGAAAATAGGATTTCATGTAGGTTTTAGGTATAGAGAATCATGTCCAAATAAAGACCAGTGTTCTACATAGTCCTGTAATCCAGTGAATAAATGCAGATTAAATTCGATCAAATCTGAAGAAAAAAAAGTATTTGTTGGCAAGTTGGCATAATGTCCAAAAACCTTTGCTAAATGAATTTAAAACTTAACTTAAAACTGTCAGACGATTAAAAAATTTTTTTTGAATGTTTTGTCGGTTGTTGATTGAGTGATTTTTACGAGTGTGTGTTTTTAAAATTTTTTGAATTAAATACATAAATCTATTATGGAAGACTTCGACGTATTCACTAATGAAATAAATTATACTAAACAATTTTGCTTGAACATACTCAACAAGTATGTAAATGACGCACCTCCGACACCCAATGGCCCGAACTATCAGTGTACGAATTATTTTAATTTGAAGATTATTGCTTATTGTTTAGTAATAAAAATCTTAGTAGAATATTATAAATTTCCAGGTGGTCACAAACTGTTGGCCGAGGAGTGTTTGGCCAGTGGTAAAGAGGCAGAATGTGCATTCCACTTAAGTGAATCTGTGTCAGCTTCTCTGCGGACTATGGCAGTGTATAGGGATGAACAAATCAAAGCTGCTAGTAAGTAAATATTTCTCAAATATGCTTGGTAATTTGAGCATTATTCTGACAACCTTTTTCGAGATAAATCAAAATTGCTGTAGGTACTGGTCACATATTGTACATGTGAGCAGTGGCTGGCAAAAGTTGTATGAACATCCATACCTGTCGTGTTTTAGCGACAATCTAAATTCTTCCATCAATGTTTCTTGCTGGCTGCTGCACTAACACACTATTATTGTAAAACATTAAAGTAAACAATAAAGTTTGTATAAAATTTTGATATTAATTACTTATCGAAAATACTTTATCTCTTGTATAAATGTTCTCAACTACCTACAGTTATGCTTTTTTCTTTCTTTCTAGACAATAAACTTTTAAAGATAACAAGCTTCATAAAACCAGTGCAAGATATAATTGATGGTAATCCTGTGTAAGTTAAATATTTTTGAGTTGCATGTTTTTAGAAAATAAGTGGATAAAAAGGTCAGTAACTTTTAAATGTATTGATATTACAGTAGACCTGCGGTAATCTGACAAACGTTTTGCAGGGCGATGTTGGATTATAGAGTACTGCCTAAGACCACTCTCTATAGACTGGAATTTTTAAAAATAAGAGTAACTTGTAATCCGACAAATTACAAATCTAAAAATCTTTTTCAATCGATTTTATGTGCAAATCAACAGTGATAAGCGTGTCGGATTATCGGGGGCGTGGGATAAGACAGGGTCCGGATTACTGTATCAACAGATCTAAAACTGGTAAAACTTTACTGTCTGGGCCTTTTTTTGTTGAAAAGGTCTCTATTAACTAAGTTTTTATCTAGCGCTTTGCAGGTCACTACACTAACTTAACCTAGTGTGATTGGCTACTTGTGGGCCCAGAAAGTACAGTTTAGACCTAAGGAATAATATGTGCTCGATTTCAGACTCTGTTATGAGCAATTACCTGGCAATCTTATACTTTTGTTTTTACATACAATATTAGATATAAATACTAATATGGTCTCAAACTGAAAGCATCTTATGCTGTCACAAGGATATTTAGGAGTATTGTTACAAAAAACACAAATAATTTGATTGTTGAACTTATTACCTATATCAAGAAAAGTTAAAAGACATCTGAACAAATTATGAAATGATAGATTTAATTCATTATTTATTTGTTGTTATTAATTTTATTGTAAATTTTTTTGCTAGCTCAAAACATGAGGAGAAATTATTTCCCTTCCTATCAAGGGATACAACAGATATCACTAAGCTATTCTCCCACCTGGACACAGCTGACGTTGCACCTTTCCACAAGAGGTACTTGAGGTTTAGCCTCGAAAACAATGTGGAAAACTTACAGAAAATCTTGAGAGAACTACCAAAAGGTTTCATATAAAATTATAATTTAATTGAAGCCATTTTCTAAAATATGCTGATTTCATTTATTTTCATATTAGTTAATTAGTTTTTAAATTGGTTATTAATTATTGGTACAAAAGCTGTGCTGGTTTAAGCACATTACTTATTTAACATGCAGCTTCAGCCTTGCTTGAATATACTTGTATATTCAGACGCTTGAGACAAAATTTTACAGGTTTATAAAATATCAAATTATTTATTTTTTACTGGCTGATTGGTCAATAACTAAATGCTTAGGTAATCAATTTGTAGCACATTTTGTAATGATAGCAAAATATTGCTTTTTGTGTAACCACCTTAAATAAATCGCTGAATGCTTCATTTGTTTAAAGCTAAATAAATTTCCTCTTCCAGAGTGGTCTATTGTACAACTGACAGCTCCATACAATCCAAATGAGAATTTAAAACCGCAAATTGAGTACAAAATTGAGATAAATTCTCTTTATTTGACAATGTACTCTAATGAATATTTGGATAGAACTGACTTTGGACCGATGACAGTAAACATTCCTGCGAATTTTACAAAAGGTCAGTGTTTAAGATGAATCATGGTTCATTTACAATTCATTGGTCCCAGACATTTCAACATTAATAATGATTTGTCACAGTGTAACTTCCCCAGTACTACTCATGTATTTTGTATTTTCAATTACAACTAGTATAAAGAGAGCTTGAAATACCTGACAGACATTTCAAGCATAATAAAAAGCAAGCCTCATAGGCGCCTTCCCCACTGGGCCACGCGGGCGCGTTTCGTTTTCGTTTCTTAGCAGATTATTAACGTAGTTACATGTCACAACATTCTCACTGAGTACTTTAAGTATAGATTCTTTACCGAGCAGATCGATGATATTAAAATCCTAGATACATCACTAGGGTTCAAAATTTGTCCCAATCAAGAAGTGCTTGAACACCACTCAAGTACTTCTTACTTTGCAGTCACGCATGGATTGTTGAAAAGTCAACATGCCACAGAGCTCCGTGAAAAAATGCGACAAAAAAACGTAGTGTCATTTTTTTCACAGGTTCAGTGTTTGATAATTTAAGGCATTTAAAGAAAATTTCGTTCTAATATTTACTATAAACTGATTTAATAGAAAATATTTGTGCTATTCAAATGTTTGGTCGGTTAAATAGCCGTCCCTTTTCCTCGCGCGCCGTACCTGCTATATTGCTAACAGCGAATTCAAAATTACGCGTAGAGTCTAAGAAATAAAGCCTTTCTTCCGCCTTTAGCAACAAGTCGTAAGATTTTACGAGCTTGCACTTCGAACTGTCGTAACTGTTTCACGCATGCGTTTTTATTAAGACCTTATATACTTTGCATTAAAGGAATGTTTAAATAATGCCTTATATCGTTTGATTACGCGATCATCCCACGGAGCTCTGTGGATCGTGTATAATGTACATTTTGGACAGGTTTCGGCAACGATTTTGTTTGTGTTGTTGTATCTAGGGTTAATATTATTAATTTATAGTTTATAGTTTTATAAATATCGTTGGAGCGGATACACAGCTCTCTGTACCGAGGGCTGCCGAGTGCTACAAAAATATTCCACTCGCCCTTCCTGTCAATCCCGCAAACAAATCAAAACGATACCGAGCCAGTCAATTACTTTGGTTTTCGGTAAAGAGTCTGTACAGATTCGGTACAGAAACGAGCCCGCACTGACCCAGTGAGTAAGACGTCTTGGGTTGAGGTTTTGCTATGACATGTTGTATTTACATGAACAAAGAGGCTTTCATTTTCCTTTAATAGGTCTATTTTTGTCCTTACAGAAGGAGAGAAACCCCTTTTTACAGAATTATATTCTTTACTAGAAGATAATTATAAAACAATTGACAATGCACAGTTCTTAAATAACAAACGTTTGGTGCAGAACTACTGGAGTAGGAGAGAAGATATTGATTTGAGGATGAAGGTAAATGATTTAACAAGTATGAGTAATTAATGGGTCTACTGAAATGTTGTCTTTGCAACATTTGCACACAGCCTAGCAGTGTGAACCTAGCACCCGACTTTGGAAAATATTTTTTTTTCTAAATGATTCTCAAAGACTTTCGAATGTAGTTGATTGTAGAAAAAAATATTTCGTTTGTAGTATCTTAAAAAAAAGTTACGGGATTTCGAAAAATCCTTATCACCCCGTTTCGACCAATAAAATTATTTTGATTGATTCATATCGGGAATCGTTTGTAGTTGATTGTAGTGAAAAAAAATTCGTTTATGGCTGTAAGAAATAAGTATCTTTTTTAATTTTGAAGCAACTACAAACGAAGAAACGTATAATACCATCAACTTCAAACGATTTCGGATATGTAGCTGCAAGAAAGAAGTATCTTTTTCAATTTTGGAGCAACTACAAACGAAAATTCTTTCACTACAATCAACTACAAATGATTCTCGAAAAGAACCAATAAAAAAATTTGGGTATGGTTGAAACGGTGATGGTGATACGGATTTTTCAAAGTCCCATAACTTTTTTTGAAGCAACTACAATCGAAATAATTTTTACTGCAATCCACTACATACGAGTATCTTTAAGAATCATAAAATAAAAATTCGATTTTCCAAAGTCTGGTGTTAATTTTTTTTTTAACTTTTTTAATTTTTTACTACAAACTAAAATTTTTTCACTTCAATCAACTACAAACGATTCTCAATACGAATCAATCAAAAAAATTGAGTTTGGGTGAATCGGGGTAATAAGGATTTTTCGAAGTCCCATAACTTTTTTTTAAGATACAAACGAAATAATTTTTAATACAATCACACACGAAAGTCTTTAAGAATCGTTAAGAATAATATAGATTTTCCAAAGTCGGGTGCTAGGTGCACACAGCCCAACAGCCTTGATTCTATAACTGTGTAGGCGATATGAGACATCCATATTAATACTATAAATATAACTATTTCTGTCTGTCTGATATGCTGTCTTTGATTAATTTTGGTAATGTAATGAGTATTGTAAAACTTAAAACAAAAAGTATAGCATAGATTTCTATAAAGAGATGTGAAGAAATTTATACATAGACAGCAATGTGATACCTTGAATTGGTACGCCCGTCTGGGGAAGTAACCTCCACCTTACAGAAGACTACAGTAAAATAACAGTACCCTTTGGTGGTGTTGTCTTTCTGTCGGTGAGTAAGTTTCCAGGGCTCCACGGGGTAGGGGATAGGGTGAGGGAAGGCAATGGAGTAAGTGATATTTTTGTATTGCTAGCGCCCACAGGCTATGGTGCCAGCTTACCATCTGGCTGACCAGCTGATTTTAGCCCTTTTAACATAAAAAAAACCCTCTACTCCTGGAGTTGCTGTCTTCTATAAGTCACAGTAACTGCTTATCAAAGAAAAGTTTTTTTAACATTTTCAATTTAAGAAAATTAATAATCCTAAAAATATTACAATTTAACGTTAGTTAGGTAAACTGTTTATTATCATTGACGTGTAAAAACAAACAGATTCAAAATAGCTCTCAAAAAGTGTCAGAACCAAAATTACGCGCACGCGTCTATTGGGCGTAATTTTCAAATAGTCTTGTCTCGACCGCGATTTGATTACAATTACAACGCCACGCAATAACAAGGTGTTGAGTTAAAAACTGTGTAAAGGACACACATAAAAATCACGGAGTGTCGTATTTCAGGTATATGTGTCCTTTTAAAAAAAGAACTTTACCTAACTATCTAATTGCTAATTAATTACATTTTAACACCTACAACATAATATTTCTCACTTAAATTTAAATTAAAACATATACATACTTATCTGTATAAGTATGTATATGTTTTAATCTAAAGAAAATATAACTAGAAAGAATTCCACGCGGACCAGGCAGCAGACGGGACTCGAACCCGCACCCTTGGCAATCCGGGCGAATGCACTGACCAATTATGCTACCACGGCCCTGATGGCTGCGTTTGAGCAGTTCCTACAAATGACTCCACCCCACCTGATGTTAAGTGAAGGTGAAGTCCAGATGCGAAGATAGCTGATACAGCAGTTCTACCTGCTACACCAGCCATCCTCACCCTGCCGGCCTGCAAGTTGCTTCTTCACGCCTCTTTTAAAGGATCCCAGGTTGTAAGAGGGAGGGAACACGTGAGCGGGCAGAGCATTCCATTTACGGATAGTACGACAAAGAAATGATTCACCAAATTTCTTTGTACGCGTTGGAATTGTAGCCACAGTTAGACGGTGACAACGTAAGCCAGCGTTCGCTATCGCGTATGAATCCTCCGCTAGAGGCGCTAGTGTAGCGTGAGGTCTCCGAAATGTCAAATGTTATTGCTTGTTGGTTGACTACGCGGGTTTATTTCTTATTAAAATAATGTTGTGAATAATTGGTAACAATTCGGCTTAATTATGGCAAATATGAGTTATGTGGCAATGAATGTCAGTTATTAAAAATTTGAGCTTAGAAAAATGATTATGTTCCCATTTTTTCCGAATAAAACGGAACTGGGCGTCACTGTGGCATGGCCTATTATGTTTAGAATATGGTTCTTTTGTGTTAAAATACGATCTAAATGTAAACTTTGATTTCATGTGCGTATTAATAAACTTTAAAAGTTATAATTTAGGACCTCACTCAACAGTGGCGCCATCTGGTGAGACAGAAAACGGTAGCCCTCATTGAAGAGACTCGAGGTGTTTAGTCACCTCCTCATCGCCTATGATGCGTATTGCGCGCCGCTGTAACCTATCCAAAGCATTAAAATCAGTAAAATATATCTTAAGATCCTTTTTTTAGAGTGTGATCAACGTTATGGACAAAGATTGGTTAGGTGGATTCGGGAGCCTACTGACTGGTAAACTGATTGACTCTGATTTAACCGAAAAAATTGTGAGATTAGTTGACAACGCCATATCTGACTGGGGGTGAGTCCAGAGATCCCTAAATTATTTATTTTCAGTAGTCCATTTAAAAAATGTTCTCCTATGATCATCATTGTCATTATTGTCCCCACTGCAGGGAGAAAGACCTTCTCTATGGATTGAATAGGGAGACTGGGCCGTGACCCACCACGCGAGCCCAGTGCGGATTGGTGGATGCTAACGATTGCAGATGCCGGGACAGACATAATAAGTTTTGGTCACGCATCCATGACTGGGCCTGGAAAGTTGATTAACGTCCACGATCCCTGAAGGCATTAATCTCAATACGTCCATGGTCTCTTACGCTATAGTGATTTATACTGGGCATTACATGAACAAAGAGTTTACCCAAACAAGGAGGCTGTAACGCAATGGGCGTTACAGTATATACATGATAGCAATCCCATGAATAGTCCCTTGTTTTTGCTGATTTTTTGACGTGACAACGTCTTAAATTAGGTTGCGGCTGGGAGTCACTTATGAAAAAGTGTAACGCTCGGTAACGTTACGATGAGTCTCTCGTGTTAAGTTTAAGTTTACATGTACAATGTTTTAGTAAACAAAATATATTTCTATAGTTAAAATTTGTGCAATTCTTATTTTCATTCAATTCCTTGTTCCTATTGTGCAATTTAATTATATTCATATCAATAAATATTCTACCGAGAAAAAGACGTTGTCACGTAAAATCTTCGCCCGTAAAACCGACTTTACAGGCAACCATTTTTTTTTTATAATATGACTGCTAGTAACATCCTTCCTACCCCAAAAAAAATCTTTTCAATTCAACTATCGAATTAAATTTTTTGAATATAATAAATAAAATGTATTATTTATAAAGGATATCCTGTTTTGAATAAAAAAATGTATCTATAATTTACAAAATAAACGGACATGCTCTCTTCACATGCAATAGAATGAAACCTACAAAAATGTAAACATGTAAAAGTCCTTCAGCCGCCCACGGCTTTATTTGTTGCCAGCTATTTTTTTTTATTTTATTTCTTTTGTAATTTGTATCATATATTGTCTTTTGTATTATTTTATAAAAAAATAAATACATTTATTCACATTTGTATAATAAACGTGAAAGTTGACTACAGTACCCCTAGCACGAATTAAAATCGTATTCGAATGGTTTACGAGTGCGCAATGTCAGTGGCATGTATGTAAACTCGAACAGCAACGTCACAACGAACGTAACGAGAACTAAAAATCGGTACATATTTTACGTATAACTAGATCGACTTCAACTATTCGAATTCGATAGTGGTTCGTGCTAAGGGTACTGTTGAACGAATTTACTGTATAGGCCCTTTTTTTCAAAGTAATGGAAATTAAAAATAAAACTGTTCTATCATAATGTGCTTCTGCTGCAGAGACTAAAAAAATGATTATTTTTATCATTTAAAAATAAGGAACTTTATCACAGTTTTATTGTAAGTACTTCAAGGATTAGATTCTGCGAGTGGCCAATTTTTTCTTTTCCCAAAGCGAGCAGTCAAAATTGTGGCTGTCTAATCAATATGCCCTTGGCGCGGAAGGGATTGAAAAAGCTAAAGAGTGTTATTATGAAATGAATAAAGAAAAAGACTTAGTTTCCGAACGGAACGTTTGGTATATGTATGTGTATAATTCAAGACTTCATGTCTTTCAGGTTTGTGAAGTTAAATAAAAAGCAGAAAGTCCTCCTATATAATTTAATAGGCAGTTGTTCTACAATGACGTCCCATCAAATAAAATCTTGCATTAGGAGAATATTGACGGAGCATGGCAACACTCATGAAATTAGACAAGTTCTACAAGTATCGGACTGTCCGACTTGCTCGAAAGATTTCAGATTTTCAAATGAATTGTGTTTGAAGTGTTTGTCAAAGTGTTTTGAAGCAATCCACCATTTTACGCTTGTAGATGGTATAAAAGCTTTTTCACAAGTGGCAACACAGATTAAAGAGAACGACGAATGGGCGTGCTTAAAGAAAGCCAAAAGGCATCCTGTTGTACTGATAGTGGATGAGGTAAGTTTCTGAAATACCTTTTATTCATATGTTTTAAAAATAAAAATTCTTATTACACTCTCATATATCTGAAATAAGTTCTCTCACTCTAAAATATTAACTATTTTTTTTAATAAATATTAGAAAAAAAATATAACTATTCTTATAGAAAATAAAAAAAGAAAGAAATAAAACAAATAGAATATTTTTGAGTGATTTAAAATGAAAATTTCATATTTTTGGTTGTTTTCAATAAAAATAACGTCATTATACTATTTTTAACTTCCATGGTCTCTAGCACTAAAGTAAATTCTTTTATTAACGGAATAGGGATGATGACAATATTTTTTTCTCCGTTTATCAAGTAGATTATCAAAAAGTATTAGACACGTATATTTTCTTTTTTCACATAATATAAACATTTCAGAGATATATTGGTTTGAAAAGTCGCATGACGTCACGTTTTGGTACAATTTTCACTTAAAAGTGACGTCACGAGCCCCTACTCCCAAACTTTGACGCGCTTTATCTTTGCCATTTTTTGGTTGATTGCCCAATGAAAAAATACGTTTCCATTATTTTTTGATCATCTAACTGACGGACTAAATAGAATTTCGTTTACTTTACCCCGTTGTCACCCCTATTGTTACCATGTACCTTGTTTTTTAAGAGTCTCCGATATTTCGGCACTGTTCATATTACTATGACAATAACGTCGTTCTGCTGTTAAAATAACGTTACTTGCATGAAATTATGCTTGACTATTGTGGCGGCGACATCTACTTGCCTCACAAATAACCTTACTTAGAGGAAATAATCACTCCCCGCTTCAAGCGATGGCGCTCCCGGCGCTGCAATCAAATAGTATGGAAGCCTACATCGCGCAAGTGAAATTCGGCAGCCAACAGTTCATATATACAATGCCTGACCAAGATCAGTCGAGCCGCGGCCCCCGATCTACCATCACCCAGCTCGGAAGATCTTCCCCTTTGGCCTTCCTGTATGGAAGCCTACATCGCGCAAGTGAAATTCGGCAGCCAACAGTTCATATATACAATGCCTGACCAAGATCAGTCGAGCCGCGGCCCCCGATCTACCATCACCCAGCTCGGAAGATCTTCCCCTTTGGCCTTCCTACAACTATAAATTAAATGTTATGTTTCTTTGTTCGCCAAGGCATTGGACACATTTCCATGGGAGACACTGCCCATCATTAACCACCATCCGGTCTCGCGAATGGAGAATATCCACTTTACCTACTATCTTTACAAGATGCACGAAACTCGCATTCAAGACGGATACTTCACCGCGCGCGCTGAAGTCGGCAGATACGTCATTAATCCAGGTATGAGATTTCACTGTCACCTATTTAAATTAATCTCTTATCTATTAGACAAGTCCGTCCGTCCGTCCGTCTGTCTGTGGTGGTGTTTCAGCGGCCAAACCGTAAGAGATAAAAGAGAATGTTTAAGTTATAAGTTAAGAATAGTCTGATAAGACTACAAACCGGATTTGAGTAACGTAGCACTTCCGGTTTTCGAGAAATCACGAATTTCAAACGAAACCACACAAAATCTCCGAGGTTCTCAATTAATTAAATACATTTTTTTTTAAATCAGGTATGATGGATTCAGAACATTTGGTTCACTGGTTTGCTAGTAATTATTATAATCTATAAAAAAAAACCGGCCAAGTGCAAGTCCAAGGCAAAGCGGTTCCAAATTTCCAAAAGTTCCAAATTTAATACCTCTACACGTTCATGAGAAAAGAGGTAGTAACTTTTAAATTTTCAAAAATATTTTTTATTATATGATGTAACTAAAAATTTACGGTTTTTGCAATTTTTCCCTTATCTGTACTATAAGACGTTACTTCGTACCGAATTTCAAGATTCTAAGTTCACGGGAAGTACCCTGTGAGTTTCGAAAATTGGCGGAAATTTGAGGCATAAACGGCTGTATTTTTTTATTGCTATGGCTTAGAAGTTTGATTTTTCACAGCTCCAAGGGACAGTAGACATGAGTATTAGATATGAATTTCAGTTTGATACCTCTACGCGTGCCTGAGAAAAACGGTCTTGACAGACGGTCGGACGGACGGACAGACGGACGGACAACAAAGTGATCCTGTAAGGGTTTCGTTTCATCCTTTTGAGGTACGGAACCCTAAAAATTAAATGAATTGCCGCATAGTTTTTAAATCTCTCCTTCCTGCAGTCTGCGGTCTTTTAAGAGAGGCGTGAAGAAGCATTTTTGCAGGCCGGCAAGGTGAGGGTGGTTGGTGTAGTAGTTTATAACTGCTGTACCAGCTATCTTCGCGTTTGGACTTTATAACCACTTAACATCAAGTGGGGTAGAGTCATTTGGCTGCCTCGCTATAAAAAAAATATTAATGTTTTGTTTGAAAACCCCCTTGGCCGAGTGATTTGTTTTAGTGATTGGTTTCATGGTATCGCCGACTCGAGAGGTCTCGGGTTCGATTCCCGGTGAGGGCAGACTTTTTTATGACGAATTCATATAGGTAGACGCATTTTTACTCCAGTCATGAATGTTCAATATGTATTTCTATATAAATATACTTATATATATGTACAGTATATGTATTCTATCCGTTACCCTAGCATCCCATAACACAAGCCTTACAGTGCTTACTTTGGGGCTAGGTTAATTGGTGTGAGTGTTGGAAATATTTATTTATTTATGTATTCTATACGTTACCCTAGTATCCCATAATACAAGCCTTACAGTGCTTTCTTTGGGACTAGGCTAATTGGTGTGAGTATTGGAAATATTTATTTATTTATGTATTCTATCCATTACCCTAGTATCCCATAACACAAGCCTTACAGTGCTTACTTTGGGACTAGGCTAATTGGTGTGAGTGTTGGAAATATTTATTTATTTTTTTACCGATTTATCTCATAGAAAAGAACTTGGACCGTATGGAGCGGCGCATGAATTCGTTTGTGCGGTACTGGTGCGACAAATGGGAGGGGCACGTGGGCACCGCGCCCGACCCTGCAAAGTTCCTCACCTACCTCACCGATGCCGACGTATTCCTGTGAGTGTTCGCATCATCATTTAATAGTAATAGGGGTGACGACGGGGTACAGAAAACGAAATTCTATTTAGTCCGTGAGTTAGATGATCAAAAAATAATGGACACGTATTTTTTCTTTGGGCAATCAACCAAAAAATGACAAAGTTATAGCGCGTCAAAGTTTGGGAGTAGGGGCTCGTGACGTCACTTTTTAGTGAATTTTCACTTAAAAGTGTACTCAAACGTGACGTCATGCGACTTTTCAAATCAATATATCTCTGCAATGTTTATATTATGTGAAAAAAGAAAAAATACGTGTCCAATACTTTTTGATAATCTACCTGATAAATGAAGAAAAAAAAATTAGTCATCATCCCTATTGTAATAACATTACATCATAATACATCACACATTTCTCTTCGAAAAAAACCGGCCAAGTGCCAGTCGGACTCGCGCACCGAGGGTTCCGTACAAACTCAATTTAATACCTCTACGCGTTCATGAGAAAAGAGGTAGTAACTTTAAAATTTTCAAAAATATAGTTTTATTATATGATGTTACTAAAAATTTACGGTTTTCACAATTTTTTCTTTATCTGTGCTATAAGACGTTGCTTCGTACCAAATTTCAAGATTCTGAGTTCACGGGAAGTACCCTGTACGTTATGATTCCCTAGCCAGTTTCGAAAATTTGCGATATAAACGGCTGTATCTTTCGATTGCGTTGGCTTAGAAGTTAGATATTTTCACAGCTCCAAGGGACAGTAGACTCAAAGATTTGATATAAAATTCAGCTTGAAACCTCCACGCGTTTCTGATAAACAGGGTCTTGACAGACGGACGGACGGACAACAAAGTGATCCTATAAGGGTTCCGTATTTTCCTTTCGAGGTACGGAACCGGGTGGTCCACCCTTAACATTTTTTTTGGACAAAATGTTTATGATACGTTATACAAAAATACATACAACCCTAAATTTTCACCCTTCTACCACCAACCCCTATTTTTTTATGGCGGTACAAAGTTCGCTTCGATAGCTAGTATATACAGATGTTACAAAAATACAAATAAAGCTTGATGGGCGTTGAAGTACATCACATAAGGAGTCTTCTCTAATTTTCTTAAAATATTTGCATGTTGTTTTATTTTTTTATAAAAACAGTTATTTTTAACAATTAATAAAAATATCGATCATTTTAAGACACGTCACTAGTTTGAGAATCATTGAAAATAACTGTTTTTATAAAAAGTAAAAACTATATGCAAATATTTTAAGAAAATTAGAGAAGACTCCTTATAATAATATGATGTATTTCAACGCCCTTCAAGCTTTATTTGTAGTTTTTTAACACCCTGTATAGGTATATAACTACTAACAACAGAAACATTTACTAACATTAGATAATAAGAAATATTTTGTTTAAAATGGTTTATGGGAAATAAAAAGGCTTTATTATTTATTATTATTAAACATAATCAATTAAAGGATAGCAAGAATAATCCATCTAAGAAACATATCTAAATGGATTCCGCTCAAGTAAAGTCATGTAAGACGATTGTATAGTCAATAGTACATATATTAATGATGTAATAGCAATGATTGTCTTCTATGGGCGTTGATTAAATAATAACTTGTTTGTTATAAACCTAGTTTACTTTCAAACGGAGGGTCATAATAAGCGCTGTGGGAACTGTGGGCCATTGTTGCCTGCGCCGACGCCGGGTCTCGTAATCAACTTTATAATGTAATAATGTTAACTTTCCATTTACAAAAATATAAATACCCTTAAATTACAATGACATACCTTTATTTTAACAATTATTTCTAAAAAGTGTTTTCCTATTGTATGATTGGTTAGACAATATTAGAAAAAGTTCTAGGTGTTACAAAAATAAACAAACAATGCATAGTTGAACAATATATAGTTGCATGTTCATTAGCCAAATCAATTCAAACATGCAACTATGCCTAGTTGAACAATGCATAGTCGACGACCTCCGTGGCCGAGTGGTTTGTACGCCAGGTTTCATGGTATCACTGTCTCGAGAGGTACCGGGTTCGAATCCCGGTGGGGGCAGATGTTTGTGTGATGAATACGAGCATTTGTACTCCAATCATAGATGTTTAAATATGTATTTCTATATAAATATACTTATATATGTACAGTATATGTATTCTATCCGTTACCCTAGCATCCCATAACACAAGCCTTACTGTGCTTACTTTGGAGCTAGGCTAATTGGTGTGAGTGTTGAAAATATTTATTATTTATTATTATTAATGCATAGTTGCACGTTCATTAGCATATAGGAAGAACCCAACTTGCAAGAAAAACAGGCGAAAGATGTAATTTTGATTTTCAACATTCGCACGTGGCACCATTTGGTAATGCGCGCCTTTTTTTTAGTAGAAAAATTTTGCTTCGATACTTAAATTAGGTAGTACTTACCTACCTACTTACTGTTTTCTCGCAAATGTAAAACTGTAAAGTATTACTTGCAGTGCCGTCTTTGACCTATTGGAGGCCCTGGGCATATTAGGGTAATGGGGCCCCTATGACTTCCGTTTGGTGATTTAACAGGAACTAGGGACTTGTATTTGAACTGAGGGCGCCCCCTATCGATCGCGGGGCCCTGGGCACTTGCCCAAAGTGCTCACTGGGAAAGACGGGTCTGATTACTTGTCATTTGAATTACAAGGAATAGTTTTGTCCCGGCAAAAGTGTGCCCTGGAAACAAAACACTAATGCATAACTAACAAGAAAATAAAAGCGTTTGATAATAGTTATTTATGATATAAGCGCGGTAAGTTGGTTTTTACAAACGAGTAGATACAACGAATAGATGTTTTTCAACACATTTGCGAGAAAACAGTACCTGTACCTACCAAACTGTCTGTAAAGTGTCTTAAATAGTTCTTTTGAATCGAACGATATCTCTAATAATACGGTATAAACAGTCTTGCATAAGAGATATTTTGATTCACCGAGATGTTGTTTTAAAACCGCATTAATTTCAAAATGTGACTCGCTCATTACAGTTACACGAAACGGTTTAAGAAAGTACGTTATCAGCGTTTAGTTATCTTATCAAGATGATGTCAGGCGCATTTTTTAATACGGAGATGTTGGTCCAATTTTTTTATACCTATATATGTTAATACACTTATTTCATTAGTTTATGTTCTCGATACATTGCTTAGTACAATAATTTTAATATCTTTCAAAAATAGCCAAAACAAAAAATTTGTGTATGTGAAATGTATTAAAAAAGAGTTCAAAAACTTTTCCTTAACATATTATTATGATGATTATATTTAGTCAGATCATTAGAACCGGAAAAGTAACTATCTCTTTCTAGAGTATTAATTTTTCACTTTCGCTTATTCAATTTGTTTTATGTCTATGTTGAGGACATTAATAGGCTGATCATGATTGGTCAGGTATTGCGACTACAGCGACGCCTGCGAATGGCGGATACTCGCTAGTGTAGAGGGCGCCACTTGTGCCCTTCTCTGCGCGCTAAAGCTTCGGTTTGCTTTAGTGCCTACTATATGCACCAAAATTAGTTCTGTCGTAATGAATGAGCGGATTGTGTATCTATAGAAGCTAGACGATGGCTTGACTGGCGAAAATTTGACACGTTAAAGAGATGTGGAAAACGATAAATTTTGTATGTGCACCTGAAGAAGCGTACTTAATTCAAAGATCGAATGCTAATTTTATCGAATTTTATTACCAAAGACACACGAAGCTTCGTCACGCAGGTGTGGGATAAGCGTCAGATTGATAGATATTTCTATGTAAATGTCGCAATTTCATAAAAAACTGGAAGTTTCTTTCGCTTGTTCTTTTTGCCAGCTAAAAATGGCCTGAACAGGTTGTAGCATAACAATTAAACACGATGTAGTGTGTATTTTTATTCCAACCGAGTATTCCACGACACTCACGCTCGCTTTATTCATTAAAATGAAATGAGAATATATTTATTTTAATAATTTATAATTTAAGTTGACTCTTTACCTACTACCTGCTTAGGTAATCTTTTAGCTGACAAGATGAACAGGCGAAAGAAATTTCTCAACTTATTATGAAGTAGCGACATTTACATAAAAATATGTATGGACGACTGACTTTATTTTTTTGTGTTACACAGATCAAGAATATTTAATATTGCATTGTGATAGATAGGTAACTTTAATGAGTAAAGAATGGGAATAGATGGGTCATTCCCAGACTTGACAGTATCCCTTGCTCATTTGTATATTTTTTATGCGATTTTTAAATGTATGCAGAGGAAGATCAATAATAGTAGGAGCATTTCATTCATAGAGGTATAAGAATAGAGTGGAGAAGGCGGCTCTAAAAGTGTCCGTCTAGTAGAAAGAGAAAGAAGATGGGAGACCGCTAGCTATCTCTCTCTTGTGACGCATGGCATTCAATGGCATCATATCGAAATAGTAAGATGCTTACGGTTGCCAATGCGCATGCGCGATTAGAGAGAGAAAGCTAACGGTCTCTCATTTTCTTTCTCTTTCTATTAGAGGGACACTTCCACTTGTAGTAGAGTCTATATCTCCCCTACTCTATTCTTATACCTCTATGATTTCATTGGTTATAGGTATTGTGGCCACGGTGATGGCTGTCACTTTGCAAATGGCGGCGCGAACGGCGCTGGCGTAGAGGGCGCCACTGGAGCTCGCGCTATAGCAATACTGTCAGGATGTGGGTCTGTTAGACTTCAGGCAACGCCGGCGAGGTGTCCGCCTGCTGCTGCTCATCACCATCTTCACGTCGCCGGCAGGTAAGAGGGGCCGTTCAAGTATTACGTAAGCAGATTTATTACAATTATTTACCCCCTCCTCCCCCTTGTCAGCAAAAGTAAGCAAAGCTCTTACTCCCCCCCTCACGTGATTACGTAAACATTGGTACTTATGCATTTTTCCTTTAACGTATTCTGTTTTTTTTATTCATTCATGAGCTTTCATGAGCTTCATGAGCAGCAGTACTTAAATAGGCTTGGGATAGAGGACTTTAACGCACATAATATTCATTGAAACAAACTTTTTTGACACAATATTCAACATTGAGTAAAGTCCTATTACGAACAAAACTAACTTCTTTCGAATTTTTGGTATCTGTATACAATCTTCAGTCCATGACACCCGAATTCATGATGCTGACGTAATCACTATCTCAACCCCCCACCCCCCCATGTCATCAATAATAAGCAACGCAAAGACCCCCCTGCCCCCCTATGGTGCTTACGTAATACTTGAACGGCCCCAGACCAAAAAAAAATTGACAAGCAGTTTTGTAGAAGCCAGGGTGTAGATCGTCCTCCCCTTCTTTATTCTGCCAGGGGACTGCCTGTCAGGAAATATCAGACAAATAGGTACTAAATCATCATCATAAGCCTATTAATGTCCCCACTGCTGGGGCACAGGTCTTCCCTATGGATGGAATAGGGAGATTGGGCTATGACCCACCACGCGGACCTAGTGCGGATCGGCGGGTGCTAACGACTGCTGATGCAACCGGGACCAGTGGTTTAACGTGCCTTCCGAAGCACGGAGGAACTCGAGATAGAAGATTTTTGGTTACCCATCCAATGACGGACTACTGCGAAAGTTGCTTAACTTCAACGGTTGCAGCCGAACTCGCTAACTACCTGCATTTTATAGCTCCTCATATATAATGTAAATACTTAATAGTTGGTGACAATTTCTATGATCTAAAAAGTTATTTCAATTACAAAAGTAACTTAACCTATAATAATTATAATAAATGTATCTTTTTTATTTATTTTTTTATCTGACATTTAGAAACCTTGTTATACTTATAACATATTATGTTAAAATTTTATATTTTATTGACATAATATAAGGTAACTCTAACATTCTTAATTCTATAGATTTTTTTTATAAGTATTTAATCATTTTTTTTTAAAATTTGTTCCCTATGTATTTGCATGTTATTTTTAAAATGGCAAAACACGCGCTCAATCCACTTTATGCAATACCTGTATACCGTGTTTTTAGCAAATAAAGACTATGATTATGATTTTTTTTTGTTTGTCTCCAGCCCCATGGTGGTAGGAATGCTATGGGAGGTGACGGACCTGGAGGTAGACAAGATGGTTAGCACACTGGTGTCTCTGTGCGTGCCTTCACAAGCACCGTTACCTTGGCCCCAGGTCGGCAAGCAAGCCTGGAACCAGGGGGTACTAGGTAAGTTTATCATCATCAGCCTATTAATGTCCCCACTGCTAGGGCACAGGCCTTCCTATGGATGGAATAGGGAGATTGTTGATTGTAGTGTCGAGTGAGGCGGGTCGTTACGTTCCCTAAAGTTATGGTTGAGTGAAGCGATGGCTGGTTCATGCGTCATGCTCGTGAACGGGTGCTGCCAGCGGAGATGAGTCTGCCCTAACTTCCTTGACATTGAAGATGTTAATGTTTATATTACACTTAATATAAATAACACTATTTGTATATATACTGTACGATACAGCATTCAAAATGCAGGTGAACAATTAATGTATATTTAATCATTATGTAATTAGAGGTGACTTCGTGAATCATCTATGAAGTATTTTCGACTTGATGACTCTGTAAATAATAAAACAGGGGGAAAGAAACAGCTCTTGCTGAGTTTCTTGCCGGTTGTTCTCAGTAAAAGGTAAAACAGCCCTTGCTGCGTTTCTTGCCGGTTGTTCTCAGTACAAGGTCTTCGTAATTTACGACCCGATGGCGTAGCTTCTAGACATGCATGAGGACCGATGATGATGACACAGATTGTGTCATCATTAATAAGTCCTCAAATTATTTTTCTCCACAAACACAAAAACGATATATCGCAATGCAATTAGTGAAAACAATATTTATCTGTATGAATAACAGATTTTTTTTTGTTGATTAAGGTCTATGTTTTTGATCCGTAGATAAAACGTTTACGTCCGTATGATATTGTTTTGAACTGATACATTGAAAGTGTTCTGTTTGTCATCAATGTTAGTTTTGCATTGGGCATTGCGTCCACTTTGTTAATTTAATAATTTAACACTGTCTACTCTCTTTCTCCGAAACGAACTATCAAATTGAAGCTTTCTTTGAGTAGGCTTAGAAAATCTAGACCTCAGTCTTTATTCCGACGACGAATATTATTATAATTAAAAACGATATATTGTTTTAAACTTTTTTCCGAAACTGTAAGTGTTGTGTGTCGAGAACAGTTTCGAGTGAATAGTGAGAATGTGAACAGTGGTACGGGTATCGAACGCAATAAAAGACTTCGTCGGAGGGTAGACCGATATGTCTGCCAATAACAGCCTACCCGCAATTACTTCAGTTACTCCGTGATCATGGCGCTTGCAACAGTGCCGAAATATCGGAAACTCGCTAAAAACAAAGTACATGGTAACAATCCCGTAAATAACTTATATTACTACTAGCTGACTCGGCGAACTTCGTACCGCCCAAAAGTAATAATTTGCAATAAATTAAAATTGCGACTATAATTTGAGATTTAAACTATCCTATCTCTCAAGTTGGATCGAACTGCACATGGTGTGCGAATTTTATTATAATCGGTTCAGTGGTTTAGGAGTCCATTGAGGACAAACATTGTGACACGAGATTTATATATATTAAGATAATTAAAAACGAACCAGAAACATAGTATGAAAAGTGCAAAGTTTCGATCGAAATTTCCTTTTTCGACGACCTCCGTGGCCGAGTGGTTTGTAAGCCGGGTTTCATGGTGTCACCGACCTGAGAGGTCCCGGGTTCGAATCCCGGTGGGGGCAGATGTTTGTGTGATAAACATGAGCATTTGTACTCCAGTCATGAATGTTTAATATGTATTTCTATATAAATATTCTTATATATGTACAATATATGTATTCTATCCGTTACCCTAGCATCCCATAATACAAGCCTTATGGTGCTTACTTTGGGGCTAGGCTAATTGGTGTGTGTTGGAAATATTTATTTATTTATATTAGAGTAGGCCTCCTGATCCTTTTAGCTGACGAATTTATATTATATAATCAAGTACATTAAACGGGCATATGGTTCGATTTATTAACATTCTCGGCGTCTCGTTTCGGATCCTTTATTGGCTTCGAAACTGATCTGATTTTGACTTTTTCATAAGATATTTTCCCTCTCGTTACAGACACAGAAGTAGAGAGTAAAGGACCCGTTATAGACGAGCGGGACTTATTGCGGGCTATGTGTAGAGCGCGAGGTTCTACCAGTTACGTGATGATCGCCAGCAGTATGGTGGCCAGGGGACTGCCTGTCAGAATACTGGATAAATAGCATTAATAGGTAATTGTCTGTTCATTTACGAATGTAACCATAGTCACGAGTTTGTTTATACAAAGTCCGCACGAATGTCATAGACAACGGAGTTTCTTTATATTTATTAAATACAAGACAGTTAGCAAGTGGTACTTGTTGTGGCCAGGGGATGGCTTGTCAGATATTGGATTAATAGGTAGGTTTTGTTTCTGTTCATTTATTAGTAGACAATGGTGTCAATTCTGGCGTGATTCTTTAAACTTAAAACTAAATTTAACATCAATCTCTCCTTTTCATTCTGTATAGAGAATGAGAAATATACAATATTGTCAAAATTAAGTTTAGGGTTAGAGGATCATGCTGGAATCGACACCATTAGGACTTAATGCGGGTCGTGTGTCGAGCCCCCTTTCAATCAGCTATCTTATGATCACCAGCAGTGTATAAGTTAGGATACTGGATAAATAAATACTTATAATTAGCGAGCGATTTATTGCTATTCAATAAGACTTATTCGCCAGCAGTATGGTGGCCAGGGGACTGACTGTCGGAATACTGGAAATATGGAATAACTAGGTAGGTTTGTGTTGATTCATTATTAGACAATTAGCTAGCGTCTGTTCATTTATCACTATAAAAATCTACAGAATGGTGGCTTGGAGACAATCTGTCGGGATACTAGACAAATAGGTGCTTGTTTTTTTGTAAATGTATTCGTCTACAAATCTACGGTATGAAGTACTTGTTTCTGTTCATTTATTATTGTACAAATAAATAAACTTGATGATCGCCAGCAGTATGGTGGCCAGGGGACTGCCTGTCAGGAAATATTAGACAAATAGGCACTTCATCATCATCATTAGCCTATTAATGACCCCACTACTAGGGCACATTCCTTCCCTATGGATGAAAAAGGGAGATAGGGCCATGACCCACGCGGGCCCACTGGGATTGGCGGGTGCTAAGGACTGCAGATGCAGCCGGGACCAACGGCTTAATGTGCCTTCCGAAGCACGGAGGAAATCGAGATAGAAGATTTTTGGTCACCCATCCAATGACCGACCACTGCGAAAGTTGCTTAACTTCAACGATCGCAGCACCCACGCCAGCGAACTCCTGAATAGATACCTAGGTTTAGGTTTTGTATGTTTTTTTTATCACCAGCATAATGTCCTAACTGCTACGGCATTGGCCTTCCCTATGAGTAGGATAATGAGAATGGGCCATTACCCATCACGCGGACGCAGAGGGGATTGGTGGGTGCTAAAGACTTCAGATCCAGCCGGTGCTGAAAGTGCCTTACAAAGCACAGAAGAATGAAAAATATTAAAAAAATATTGGCCATCTTATGAACGGCCTTTGCGAAAGTGGCTTGACTATCATGATCGCCATTGAACCAGTTTTATTTAATATTTAAAAATAATTTTCCAGGTGCCGATAAGCTGCAATGCAGTCCGAATTCTGTGATTCTTACAATGAACAATTGATATTGTAACAAGACTAAATAGGCTATAAGATTAACAAATGAATGTATTAAAAACCGTTAGGATATTATAAATGATGTATTTTTGATACTATTTGTTTCATTCTAATACGTGTTGGGGTGTGCTAACACTTATCTGCTGGCTCTTTAGTCATAAATTTATTAAACGTGTATTTTGGCTTGATCTACACATCACACTAATAATATAAAGGCGAAAGTTTGTGAGTGTGCGAGTGTGTATGATTGTTACTTCTTCACGTCTAAACGGCTGAAGCGATTTTAATAAAATTTGGTATGGAGTTAGCTGACACCCTGGATTAACACATAGGCTACGTTTTACTGCGGGAAAATATCCATAATAAACCGCGGGGCACAGCTAGTATTAAAATAAAAACTTGACGATGTCAGAGAAATATACAAGAAATATGAACTGATTACTGATTTGACGACCTCCGTGGCCGAGTGGGTTTCAAGGTGTCGCCGACTCGACAGGTCCCGGGTTCGAATCCCGGTGGGGGCATATGTTTGTGTGATGAATATGAGCATTTGTACTTCAGTCATGTATGTTTAATATGTATTTCTATATAAATACTAGCTGACCCAGCGAACTTCGTACCGCCATAAAAATAGGGGCAGGGGCCCAATTCTCGCGGCGTAGATATTATATCGGCTTCGAGATAATATCGAAAGTAGGGATATCTATTGAAAATATCTACTGATGGTAAAAAATGCTATTGTCGTGGATTTTCGATATTCCAATGATATTATATATATCGTAGATATTCTTTCACTGCCGAATGCGTTCCGTTTTTCTCGATTAAGTTAACATCATAGTCTATATAAAATAATAATAAATTAGAGCAGAATTTTACAAGCAACAAAATGATATTTTATGAACTCCATTCATATTAAATATGAGTATACATTTTTTGAGTATAAGAAATCTCAACTTTACCTAAATTGTATGCGTATATAATTTCAACGTTATGTATAATGAAACGTCAATATTATTTAAGATTCTCCCTTTTCAGGGAAGGCAAGGGTAACAATGCCCATAAAGCCTAGTCTTTAGTTATATTAATCTTCTTTTTTTTTACATTCGAATGTCGGTGTGACGCATTCTAATGTTTCTTGGAGTGTTTGGCACGAAATTAATGGAGTTGGCTTTTTCTCTAAGCTTCTGTGAGGTAGTCAACACTATAATAAAGTTCTCGCGTCCACTTGACCGGAATAGTGTATATTTTAAAGATTCCACTAATTCTTCAGTTGCGCAGACGGTTGTAACACCAAATCACACCAATTTTATTTCACAATATCCACTATGAACGAATTTTAGAATAATTAAAATAAGATGCCAACCGCACTCGCAGAAATCCCGCCAAAACTCCGTATCGTCAATAAGAAAATGGTGTCGATTCTGGCATGATTCTCTAAACCTAAACGTAAATTTGACAACAGTGTATCCTTGTCATTCTCCATACAGAATGAAAAGGAGAGACTGATGTTAAATTTAGTTTTAAGTTTAGAGAATCGTGTCAGAACCGATACCAATGTCATTCACAACTTTAAAGATTTCTAACCAAATTTTTGTTTAAACGTAATTTTTTTATGAAGTCGGCGTCCCTCATTTCAAATGGGCCCTCTTGCTCTCACAACGGCGGCGCCTTAGCACAGCAGCAGCAATCACGTCATTTATTAAATCATTGACGAAAACATGAATCAATTCATCCATCGTTAATATAAACTGGTGTCGATTCTGGCACGATTCTTTAAATCTAAACTTAAACTTGACAACAGTGTTTCCTTGTCATTCTCTATACAGAATGAAAAAGAGAGACTGATGTTAAATTTAGTTTTAAGTTTAGAGAATCACGCCAGAATCGACACCATCGTTTACCTACTTCTTTATTTACTAATTATTTATGAAGACAGTTAACAACATCTCGAGGTAACAATAATTGGCAAAGACACACGACAACACAATAAATAATAGGTAAAAAAAGTGGAAATAACAAGATTGACATGCCAAGATCCATAGATATCTATATATCGAAGGCTCTTTACCAGTCGATGTATGTCTACTGATCATCCATAGATAAATATCTATTGCGACATGGTGAGAATAGGGCAAAAAGGTTTTCCTTCGATAAAAGCCAGGGGCCCAATTCTCGCGGCATAGATATTATATCACCTTCGATATATATCGAATGATCTGGCTTTTATCGAAGGAAAACTTTTTTGCCCTATTCTCACCATGTCGCAATAGATATTTATCTACGGATGATCAGTAGACATACATCGACTGGTAAAGAGCCTTCGATATATAAATATCTATGGATCTTGGCATGTCAATCTTGTTATTTCCACTTTTTTTACCTATTATTTATTGTGTTGTCGTGTGTCTTTGCCAATTATTGTTACCTCAAGATGTTGTTAACTGCCTTCATAAATAATTAGTAAATAAAGAAGTAGGTAAACAATGGTGTCGATTCTGGCGTGATTCTCTAAACTTTAAACTAAATTTAACATCAGTCTCTCTTTTTCATTCTGTATAGAGAATGACAAGGAAACACTATTGTCAAGTTTATGTTTAGATTTAGAGAATCGACACCAGTTTATATTAACGATGGATGAGTTGATTCATGTTTTCGTCAATGCTTTAATAAATGACGTGATTACTGCTGCTGTGCTAAGGCGCCGCCGTTGTGAGAGCAAGAGGACCCATTTGAAATGAGGGACGCCGACTTCATAAAAAAATTACGTTTAAACAAAAATTTGGTTAGAAATCTTTAAAGTTATGAATGACATTGGTATCGATTCTGACACGATTCTCTAAACTTAAAACTAAATTTAACATCAGTCTCTCCTTTTCATTCTGTATGGAGAATGACAAGGATACATTGTTGTCAAATTTACGTTTAGGTTTACAGAATCATGCCAGAATCGACACCATTTTCTTATTGACGATACGGAGTTTTGGCGGGATTTCTGCGAGTGCGGTTGGCATCTTATTTTAATTATTCTAAAATTCGTTCATAGTGGATATTGTGAAATAAAATTGGTGTGATTTGGTGTTACAACCGTCTGCGCAACTGAAGAATTAGTGGAATCTTTAAAATATACGCTATTCCGGTCAAGTGGATGCGAGAAGTTTATTGTGGTGTTGACTACCTCACAGAAGCTTAGAGAAAAAGCTAACTCCATAAATTTCGTGCCAAACACTCCAAGAAACATAAGAATGCGTCACACCGACATTCGAATGTAAAAAAAAGAAGATTAATATAACTAAACACTAGGCTTTATGGGAATTGTTCCCTTTGCCTTCCCTGAAAAGGGAGAATCTTAAATAATATTGACGTTTCATTATACTTAACGTAGAAATTATATACGCATACAATTAAGGTAAAGTTGAGATTTCTTATACTCAAAAAATGTATACTCATATTTAATATGAATGGAATTCATAAAATATCATTTTGTTGCTTGTAAAATTCTGCTCTAATTTATTATTATTTTATATAGACTATGATGTTAACTTAATCGAGAAAAACGGAACGCATTCGGCAGTGAAAGAATATCTACGATAGATATAATATTATTGGAATATCGAAAATCCACGAGAATAGCATTTTTTACCATCAGTAGATATTTTCAATAGATATCCCTACTTTCGATATTATCTCGAAGACGATATAATATCTACGCCGCGAGAATTTTTATCGAAGGAAAACCTTTTTGCCCTATTCTCACCATGTCGCAATAGATATTTATCTACGGATGATCAGTAGACATACATCGACTGGTAAAGAGCCTTCGATATATAAATATCTATGGATCTTGGCGTGTCAATCTTGTTATTTCCACTTTTTTTACCTATTATTTTTTGTGTTGTCGTGTGTCTTTGCCAATTATTGTTACCTCAAGATGTTGTTAACTGCCTTCATAAATAATTAGTAAATAAAGAAGTAGGTAAACAATGGTGTCGATTCTGGCGTGATTCGCTAAACTGAAAACTAAATTTAACATCAGTCTCTCTTTTTCATTCTGTATAGAGAATGACAAGGAAACACTGGTGTCGATTCTAGCGTAATTCTCTAAACTTAAAACTAAATTTAACATTAATCTTTCCTTTTCATTCCGTAAAGAGAATGACAAGGATACGCTGTTGTCAAATTTAAGATTAGGTTTAGAGAATCGTGCCAGAATCGGCACCACTGTTGTCAAGTTTAAGTTTAGATTTAGAGAATCGTGCCAGAATCAACACCAGTTTATATTAACGATGGATCAGTTGATTCATGTTTTCGTCAATGATTTAATAAATGACGTGATTGCTGCTGCTGTGCTAAGGCGCCGCCGTCGTGAGAGCAAGAGGGCCCATTTGAAATGAGGGACGCCGACTTCATAAAAAAATTACGTTTAAACAAAAATTTGGTTAGAAATCTTTAAAGTTATGAATGACATTGGTATCGATTCTGACACGAGTCTCTAAACTTAAAACTAAATTTAACTTCAGTCTCTCCTTTTCATTCTGTATGGAGAATGACAAGGATACACTGGTGCCAATTCTGGCGTGATTCTCTAAACTTAAAACTAAATTTGACATCAGTCTCTCCTTTTCATTCTGTATAGAGAATGACAAGGATATACTGCTGTCAAATTTAAGTTTAGATTTAGAGAATCATGCTAGAATCGACACCACTGTTGTCAAATTTACGTTTAGGTTTAGAGAATCATGCCAGAATCGACACCATTTTCTTATTGACGATACGGAGTTTTGGCGGGATTTCTTTCTTTAATTATTCTAAAATTCGTTCATAGTGGATATTGTGAAATGAAATTGGTGTGATTTGGTGTTACAACCGTCTGCGCAACTGAAGAATTAGTGGAATCTTTAAAATATACGCTATTTCGGTCAAGTGGACGCGAGAACTGTATTGTAGTGTTGACTACCTCACAGAAGCTTAGAGAAAAAGCCAACTCCATAAATTTCGTGCCAAACACTCCAAGAAACATTAGAATGCGTCACACCGACATTTGAATCTAAAAAAAAGAAGATTAATATAACTAAAGACTAGGCTTTATGGGCATTGTTCCCTTTGCCTTCCCTGAAAAGGGAGAATCTTAAATAATATTGACGTTTCATTATACATAACGTTGAAGTTATATACGCATACAATTTAGGTAAAGTTGAGATTTCTTATACTCAAAAAATGTATACTCATATTTAATATGAATGGAATTCATAAAATATCATTTTGTTGCTTGTAAAATTCTGCTCTAATTTATTATTATTTTATATAGACTATGATGTTAACTTAATCGAGAAAAACGGAACGCATTCGGCAGTGAAAGAATATCTACGATAGATATAATATCATTGGAATATCGAAAATCCACGAGAATAGCATTTTTTACCATCAGTAGATATTTTCAATAGATATCCCTACTTTCGATATTATCTCGAAGACGATATAATATCTACGCCGCGAGAATTGGGCCCCAGGTGATAGAAGAGAAAAAAATGTAGTGGCCCTGTTCATGGCGTTAGGTAGGGCCCTGCTTATTTCACACGACCCAAGGGCTGGCTATAATGAGCAGGGAGGTGTCCCACATACCTTCTTCTTGCTCCCCCTGTGGTTAAAGGATGCTTAAGGCATTTCCTAGACAAAAAAAAGCAATCTGTCTATATATATAAAACTCAAAGGTGACTGACTGACATAGTGATCTATCAACGCACAGCCCAAAACACTGGACGGATCGGGCTGAAATTTGGCATGCAGGTAGATGTTATGACGTAGACATCCGCTAAGAAAGGATTTTGATCAATTCTACCCCCAAGGGGATAAAATAGGAAAAGAAAGTTTGTATGAAACTTTGTCAATTTTAAACCGATCGGGCTGAGACTTTGCATGTAGGTATAAGAAGAATCATAGAGGAATGTCATTGTGTATAATACAAGCCTGAGAACAAAAACTATAGTGTACTAGGCATGGGTCCGATATATCAAAACGAATCCAAAATCCGATTTCAAACACAAATCGATACCGAACGATTTCTCAACAAGAAAATCCGATTTCAGAAATCTAACCGAACCAAAACGATCTAACCGAACCAAAACGATCTAACCGAACCAAAACGATCTAATACCACCACAAGTATCCAAATGTAAATCGGATTCGAAATTCGTGCTTTCGTTTTCGGAAGTCCGATTTCGGTTTGCTGTTTACGGAAATCTATTGTTCTTCTCTAAGGCGGGATTATTTATTACTGAAAAAGATGTCGTCTATAAACATCAAAAGTCGAGCAACTGATATTTTTTGAACGCTAACCTGAAGTAATTAGGTTTGATTTTGTAAATGGTTTGAAAAATAATAAAAACAAACAGAAAAACAAAAAAAAATACTAAAAAAATATGTAAAAAGAAATCTTTGTATATAAGCCGATTTTTAAATGCGCCGCAAAAGTTTTACTTTTAACCGTAAAGATAACTTTTCTGCTAGTTCTAAGCCACAGAATATATACTCTTGCCTAAGCCTAGATTTAAAGCATAAAGGAAAATCGCGCAAATCTACGAGTATCCTTGCTACGTACAATTAATTGTTTGTGATTGTCGTTAGCTAATAAAACCAAATCATAACACAAACTAGTGAATTGGCTAAGTTCGGCACATCTGAAATCGGATATCTAAAAACGGATTTTAAAATCGATTTTGAAATCGGAAATCCGATAAATATCCGTTTGCGTTCAAAACCAAAAACGCCCATGTCTATAGTGTACACTTCAGCTCTACACCGAAGCGAAGCGAGGGCGGGCCGCTAGTGACTAATTAAACGTGTTTTTCTTGCACCAATATCGGTATTTATGATCAAGTAGGTAAGTATATAAATTAACTCATTTAGGTACATAAATTGACTAAGCGTGCGCAGTTTGTTCCCTGGGCCGTTGTCTTTTTTTACCTATTATTTATTGTGTTGTCGTGTGTCTTTGCCAATTATTGTTACCTCGAGATGTTGTTAACTGTCTTCATAAATAATTAGTAAATAAAGAAGTAGGTAAACGATGGTGTCGATTCTGGCGTGATTCTCTAAACTTAAAACTAAATTTAACATCAGTCTCTCTTTTTCATTCTGTATAGAGAATGACAAGGAAACACTGTTGTCAAGTTTAAGTTTAGATTTAAAGAATCGTGCCAGAATCGACACCAGTTTATATTAACGATGGATGAATTGATTCATGTTTTCGTCAATGATTTAATAAATGACGTGATTGCTGCTGCTGTGCTAAGGCGCCGCCGTTGTGAGAGCAAGAGGGCCCATTTGAAATGAGGGACGCCGACTTCATAAAAAAATTACGTTTAAACAAAAATTTGGTTAGAAATCTTTAAAGTTGTGAATGACATTGGTATCGGTTCTGACACGATTCTCTAAACTTAAAACTAAATTTAACATCAGTCTCTCCTTTTCATTCTGTATGGAGAATGACAAGGATACACTGGTGCCAATTCTGGCGTGATTCTCTAAACTTAAAACTAAATTTGACATCAGTCTCTCCTTTTCATTCTGTATAGAGAATGACAAGGATATACTGCTGTCAAATTTAAGTTTAGATTTAGAGAATCATGCTAGAATCGACACCACTGTTGTCAAATTTACGTTTAGGTTTAGAGAATCATGCCAGAATCGACACCATTTTCTTATTGACGATACGGAGTTTTGGCGGGATTTCTTTCTTTAATTATTCTAAAATTCGTTCATAGTGGATATTGTGAAATGAAATTGGTGTGATTTGGTGTTACAACCGTCTGCGCAACTGAAGAATTAGTGGAATCTTTAAAATATACGCTATTTCGGTCAAGTGGACGCGAGAACTGTATTGTAGTGTTGACTACCTCACAGAAGCTTAGAGAAAAAGCCAACTCCATAAATTTCGTGCCAAACACTCCAAGAAACATTAGAATGCGTCACACCGACATTTGAATCTAAAAAAAAGAAGATTAATATAACTAAAGACTAGGCTTTATGGGCATTGTTCCCTTTGCCTTCCCTGAAAAGGGAGAATCTTAAATAATATTGACGTTTCATTATACATAACGTTGAAGTTATATACGCATACAATTTAGGTAAAGTTGAGATTTCTTATACTCAAAAAATGTATACTCATATTTAATATGAATGGAATTCATAAAATATCATTTTGTTGCTTGTAAAATTCTGCTCTAATTTATTATTATTTTATATAGACTATGATGTTAACTTAATCGAGAAAAACGGAACGCATTCGGCAGTGAAAGAATATCTACGATAGATATAATATCATTGGAATATCGAAAATCCACGAGAATAGCATTTTTTACCATCAGTAGATATTTTCAATAGATATCCCTACTTTCGATATTATCTCGAAGACGATATAATATCTACGCCGCGAGAATTGGGCCCCAGGTGATAGAAGAGAAAAAAATGTAGTGGCCCTGTTCATGGCGTTAGGTAGGGCCCTGCTTATTTCACACGACCCAAGGGCTGGCTATAATGAGCAGGGAGGTGTCCCACATACCTTCTTCTTGCTCCCCCTGTGGTTAAAGGATGCTTAAGGCATTTCCTAGACAAAAAAAAGCAATCTGTCTATATATATAAAACTCAAAGGTGACTGACTGACATAGTGATCTATCAACGCACAGCCCAAAACACTGGACGGATCGGGCTGAAATTTGGCATGCAGGTAGATGTTATGACGTAGACATCCGCTAAAAAAGGATTTTGATCAATTCTACCCCCAAGGGGATAAAATAGGAAAAGAAAGTTTGTATGAAACTTTGTCAATTTTAAACCGATCGGGCTGAGACTTTGCATGTAGGTATAAGAAGAATCATAGAGGAATGTCATTGTGTATAATACAAGCCTGAGAACAAAAACTATAGTGTACACTTCAGCTCTACACCGAAGCGAAGCGAGGGCGGGCCGCTAGTGACTAATTAAACGTGTTTTTCTTGCACCAATATCGGTATTTATGATCAAGTAGGTAAGTATATAAATTAACTCATTTAGGTACATAAATTGACTAAGCGTGCGCAGTTTGTTCCCTGGGCCGTTGTCTGACGGGCAGCGTCTTCTTCGGGCGGCGCCGCGACGATGGCGGAGTACGCTCCTTACTCTCGCTAGCTCGCTGCAATGCCTGACACAAACAAAATACCATGTTAGGGGCCGTCCATTAATCACGTGATTTTTTTTGCTTGGCGCCTTAAAAAAATCCAAGATGGCAACACTGTTCGTAGTAATCTGTGGCATTCGTGCATTCCAAAGAGTAGTTTAATATACCGGAAAGTGCATTCTCGTTTCGGATTACCTGTTGTGTGTGTTTATTTGCGATTGTTTTTCCTTTAATTTAACTATTTTGGCTATCTAATATGCCATCAATGTTACCAAAGAGAAGAGCCCTTATTACCAAGTGCTAGTGAACCTGTGCCACAACATCCTGAGAGGATCATACTGCTTAATTATTCAAGAACACAACACCCGATACACATTCACGCTGCATATTTACACAAATACATGTGATATACAAATAAAGAACTTTCGTTCCAATACAATATACAATATTATACAATTACGTGAAAAATAGTCAATAAATAAGAAGCAAAACTACAGTTTTTATTTTATTCATGATTCCTTCCTATCCAAGTTTTTCCTAATAGATATTCTTTAAAATCAGACCGAATAAAATGAATTTGTTGTAATATTAATTTACTTCATACTGAGTACATACTAAGTTCACAGGTTGACCTATGTTTCATTGAATATTAAACATAACCTCAAAAACATTTAGTTTTCCTAATAATTTAAGATCTCAGAAGTGTCCGTCAATAATCTTTGGTTTTACAGTCATTTACTTACGATTTCGAACCTAGAAAATAATATTTCATGATTGTTGGTTCTTAGGCTAACGATGTATGGACGCTGAACAATGACCTTTGATTAAAATCGGTTAAGTAGTTTAGGAGTATATTCCGGACATACAACGTGATGCGTAATTTATATATATTAAGACTAGTGATCCGCCCCGCTTGCCTTTGCGTGAACTCCCTTTTGACGCTATAAAAATAGCTTATGTTACATATGTTTGGGCCACACTATCGCGATACTCGATGATTTACCGTTTTCACGACGCATCTAACCAAGCAATAGTCACATTTCTGACCGTGTACTGAAATCATACCGGGTACTCATTAGCGAGCTGTAACCGTAACCGTTGCATGCATCAAAAAGCATAGTAGCAATGTATATACATATTTCAACTGTCCAAGGTATATTGTACCATCCGTGGAAGTCTTGCTATCTGTGATTTAGCCTGGTGACCTGTAGCACAGGTTTCTATTGCTGAAACCTATTTCAGGCACCAGTTCATCACAAATAGGAGAGCCACAACACTGTAATAGCTATACAAGACTTACTATGAATCTCTGTTGTGGAGAATAAATATATTTTTGATTTTTGATAGTGTGCACGTGGTTCGCTAACATGCTGTGAGAGGTACGCGTGTGGTTTGCAGCGAGCCGACGAGCTACAAGCGTACACACTAGAACCACAATACATACGAGAGCAGTACTCCTATTTCATACTAGCGCCCGAATCGACGTACGCACACAGACAAACGTCATTTACACGGCCGCTGATCAATCTTGACAAGACAAATCAACGCAGTGCCACGTCCGCGCCGCCTCCGCCACGGTAATATTATTACCGTGGCCGAGACTAGTCGTTGGCCGAGTTAAGTTAGCTGCGCCCGCGCCGCTCGTGCCTTCTGCCTCCGTTTCGATTCCGTAATGTGGCAATAGTAATTATACACACAATAAAAATCTACAGAAATATGTTTTACATTTTGTAGGTACCAACCCTAGCGCTCCGCTCAGTCGTAGGTATCTATTTCAAGAAAACAGCTGAGTTACGCTACGGCTCTTGTATGTATTGTGCTGATTTGTGCTAGAACCTCGTACTTATTGTATTACGCATGTTATAGTTACAGCTCGCTAATGAGTACCCGGCTTTACTATTGCTTGGCTCGACTTGTCGTGTAAACGGATAATGTTCGCGATAGTGCGACAATGTAGGCGTAGCATTAGGGATAATCAAGTATTGTAACGGTATTTTTTTTTAAATCGGTCCAGTAATTTTTGTGTTTATTCGTTACAAACACAATACCTTGCACTTTGTACTATTAGAAGTATGGATTGGATTGCGTCAAAACATAAGAAATTTACAGGTTACTATAATGTGCTATGGGAGTTATGTGATATACCTCATCCAACCTGATGACATCTACGGTTTCCGTGATCTTCTTCTCCAAGCTCTTGATGTAGAGACGAGCGTTGGTCACATTCACGTCGAACGCCTTGCCGAGCAGCTTCAGAAGCGGCAATGAGTTGCATTCAGCCGTTCTGCGATACAGGAAAACGAACTTGGAATAGGTACTTACTAGTTGTAGGAACTTTGTTTATTTATCAATTAAAAAGAAAAACTTTTTTACATAGATAAAAATTTATTATAGCAAATGAAAACAATAAGGAAAACGTTAATAGTTATTATATTACTTTACTTATAGTTTCGGATCCTTTTTAAATCCCTTTTTTTAGTGTGCATGCTGTTGGTCGCAAATGACCTTTACAACGTCACCGGGTTTGGGTACGGCGAGATCCTAAGGGTTCTCAAGTAGAGAATTGGCGAGTGCCTCTAGAGGTGTTCCAGGTGGATAGTATCTCCCCACGGGGGGAGTCTCCTCTCCGTCTGGAGCCACTAAACCGCTCGAACCTGAGGTACAAGAGTTACAAATCCCATCTTCTGGCAACGTTTTATTTAATATTTGTTGTGCGTGAAAACATAAGAAAGAAAAATAAATCTTTAACTTAAGTCGAAGTTAATCCAATTTATAATTAAACGGACACTCGAATCTATTGAACTCATAATCAATAAAGTATTTCATTCCAGATTTTTTTGTAACTATAATAATAAAGTCACCATGTCCGCACAGATCGGTCATTATGTCCGCATATGGAATGTTGGCCAGTATTGGTCACCACTCCCACTAGGTATAGATTTGGGCTTGAAGTAGGAAGTGATTTATTACAATACTAGTGTTATTATATTATAACTCGACTACCTACTACATTAAAATATATTAACATAATTCTGAATGAATACATATCGACAGTGGAAAAGCGAAATCGCATAAACGCCAATTTAGTAAACAGAAACGAGGATCAAGGTTTTTTTTCACATAAAAATCATAACTCATTGTAAATGATGAATATAAAATGATTTTGTAAGCATAAAAGCATATTCATAAAATAATTTCTAAATATCCTTCTATTCAAAAGTTACATACTTAGTGCCTTTACGAATTAGATCTAGGCCCGCCATACATTTATGTCAAGCAAACATCAAATCATACGCCAAATAGTAGGGCGTAAGCGCCATTGGTTCAAAAAATGGCCCAGTACGAGTCGGACTCACGCACCGAGGGTTCCGTACAAACTCAACTCAATGAGAAAAGATGTAGTATCTTCAAAATTTTCACAAATATTTTTTATATTACGGTTTTCGCAATTTTTCCTTTATCTGTACTATAAGACGTTACTTCGTACCCAATTTCAAGATTCTAAGTTAACGGGAAATACGACGCAGAAAAAAAATCTGATTAAAATGATACATAGTTATACATATATATATATATATATATATATATATATATATATATATATATATAACTCATTTTCGACCAAAGAGGCGTTTAAGCAATTTTGCTTTCCACTGTCGATAATATAGTGACTGTTTTGTTTGTTTATAACTAACTAGTGAATGGCTGAAGGCTTTTCTGCGTGGAATGATTGATTTCTCATCATCTAAAGTTTCATCATCACCATTGTAAACCTAGTAATCTTCCCACTGCTGAGGAAAGCGTTCTTTTCCGTAAAATATGTCTATTAACCTCCATGAAAACGCTCCAGTCACGGCCACTAATCAGTGAAGATTTGCGAGTACCCCTAGCACGAACCAAAATCGAATTCGTAACGTTTGCGAGTCCGAAATGTCATTGTCAAATGTGTACTGTGTGTATTTTTAGTTCTCGTTACGTCCAAAGTGGCGCTGCTGTTCAAGTTTCCATACAAAATTTGACATTGACATTTCGTTTTGCAAACTATTCGAATTCGAAATTGGTTCGTGCTAGGGGTATACCCCAAGTACGAAGTTTGTCAGATCCGAAGACAGACAGGTGCGAATAACCAGGGAAAAAGTATACGTATCACGTCAAAGTTTCTGTGGATAAAACTAATGTGTTTACCAGTGGCGGCGCTGGACCACTTGTGGACGTCGGCGACATCAAGTTCGCGAGGCCTATTTTACTTCGCAGTGAAAAACCGTTAAATTAAGTGAGCCAAATTATAAAATAACGTATGAGTAAACGAGTTTTATTTTGATAATCAAATGATGATAAAAAATAATTACAAACAGAAAATTAATTACAAAAATAGCCAGACAGACGATTCTGAATACCTGTAAAGTACTATTCGCATCCATCACGCACGTGTTCGAAAATAATAAAAGTCATTATCATCTGCTTAGCCTTTTCCCCGAATTGTTCGGGGTCGGCTACCTAAGCCAGGCCAGCAGAAACGAAAATAAATAGGTAACTTGTACATAAATAGGTAAAAAATTTTTGCGAGGCCGTCGGCGGTGGCCGACGTCGGCGACGCCTAGCGCCGCCACTGGTGTTTACGTCCGGTGTTGCTCAGTTTCCATACAATTCGCCTTGTTACTTTTCTAAAATTCGCTGGGAGACTAAAAATTTAGTAAGGTCCCCCGGGGCTATTGTAGCTAGGGGGCAAATGTAGCCGTTTCAAATAACTTGTTACTGTTTTGTTTTTAAAATAAGTTACATCTGTAGCTCTGTAGAATTACTGTTATTGACCTACACACACATATTTTGGCATTAACACGTAAACTGGACTTTTTGGGGGGATCGGAAAGCGTCACTTAAGCAGTTTTGTTTTTCTTGTTAAAAATTGTGTTGTGGCGGGTGTTAGTGACTAATAATGGTGGATTATTAACCACTAAGTGTTGGGGAACATGCACAAGTGCTGGTAAGTAAAACAAAATAGCGGAAAGTGTCTTTCGACGTTCCGTCGAGAAGTCCACGGGGAGGTTCCAGTAAATCCCCACACATTTACTGAAACATAGGGAAAGGGGGATTGACTTGACTGCCACTTACTTTGACTTGATTTATTACTTTGACCACGAATGCTATAGAATTTGTAAACATTTTGTCACTTGACATTGACTAAATGCACAAGCCATGCGAAGCCATTTAGAAAAAAAAACACGTAAGTAAACTGTTGTATTTTTAGATACATATTTTTGGGAGTCCCTCAGGAACCTACAACTTTTTTGGGACGAAAATTATTCTATGTCTCGATCCTGGTAATAAACTATATGTGCCGAATTTCATCCAAATCCGTTCAGCCGTTTTTGCGTGATTGAGTAACAGACGTACAAACTTTCACATTTATAATTAGTAGGATGACCTTTACATGATACTTACATAGCTAAACTCTGTATCTGCTGCAGCAGATCGGCAAGCACCTCTCTGCTGCGGTCACAGGTGGCCTGCAGTTCGGCAGTTGTAGTGCGTTTTTTTTCTAGAGTCACCTTCAACGACTCTATGCTGTCCTGCTGCTTACACATCTTGGCTTGATGTTTGACGCGTTCCTCGTCTGTGGAGTGTAGAAAAGGAGACGGAGTATGGAGGGTTGGTAGTCAGTCTTCAGGGCACTTAATAGGTTATTTGGCAGTGTTAAAAATAAAATGCCATTTGTCAGCATCTGTGTTTAGAATGAATAAGGGGTTTTTATAATTTTTACAAAAAAAAATATTCATAATTTTACTAAAAACTAACGAAAAAGATAATAGTTTTCTTATTTATTGTCACATGACTCAAAACGCTTGGGATTGGCGGAGCCTAAATTACGTCACACGCAAGTAACCTTTCGGTTAAAGTGACATTACATTTTATCGTTTGACGTTTTAATAACAGTCGTGTGACGTCACACACTAGTAAGACGCCATATTGTCCAGAGAAACGTTTTCGCGGTAACTTGAAAATGGAGTTTTTGATTTGGTTATTTTTACTGAAATACACAACAGAATGATGAATATCCACTTTTTACGGACTCCATATAAACATTAGTCAATAACGTGAGATCGTTTTCTAAAACTTGTCAAATACCGTAGTAAATAGTTTAAATTTTTATTTTTAAATTAATAACATAACTGCTATGCTGGATGTTTTAATCTAAAGAATTTTACTACAATAAAATCCACGCGGACCTGTAGACTCGAACCCGCACCCTCTGCTATCCGAGCAGATGCACTGACCATTATGCTCCCGCGGCCCTAATGGCTGTGTCGATTTTTTTCTAGCGTTTTTTTAACTGCAAGGCAGCGCCGTCTCATCGCATTGTAGGAAACCCACAATGTCAAACGAATACGTTTACAAGTATTAAACATTTGAAAGGAGAAATTGTAGATATTTTTTATTTTTTTAAGCATTTGCATAACTGATAGATGTTTAAATCTTAAGAAAATATTTGTATTCTGGGGGAGAAATAACATATATTTAGTAATATATTATGTATATATTGTTCATTAATACAGTAGAAAAGATATTAGAGAGTGACAAGTATCTAGTGACACATATTTAAATGTTTATATTATGATATACATAATACAGCTAGGGTATTCTTAGTGGATCCACGTCTGGGGACTGCCTAGTACCCTAGCGCAGTCCCCCTGAGGCGCGTCGCCCGGTCCACTCGTTGGGCCGGGCCTGCCCGGGGGCGTGCTCGGAGATGTGGCGCACGCAGGTGCGTCGGCCCCGAGACCGCCCCCATATGGTCGTAGGAGGGTACCGGGGGGTTTTAGTGGAGTAGGATCAGTGTGGCCTTCCGCACTGGTCCTGCTTGAGTAGGGTCGGCACTGTTTCCCGTGCCGGCGAGTCCCACACACGCCGTGCGCCTAGTCAGCGTCACGGTATGGTGCGTAACTGCATTTCCCCTCGTCACAAAAAGAAGAAACAATTCCACGTGGACCAGGCGGCAGACAGCAACAGACATTGAAAAAAAAAGTTATTAAAATGTTTTATTATTAGTTATTCAAAAGTCAGCTGGACAGCATCACGATTGTCGGTTGAATGATTAAACAGCCTGTTTTAAAATTAAGTGTTTAGCGAGTGCATACATGCACATAATAATTTGCTGCTTTATTCCGATCAGGCGTCAGACCAGTGCGTCAGACGGAATACGTTGCGACATCCGTTGTTGCTGCAGCTTTGTCGGTAACTACATTCAAAGGTTCAATAGACAGTCTGAGGTTTAGTTACGTATTCTTATTATCTCGTATATAAAGTGAAGGTTGTTTATCAATAAAGTTCCTTAGAAGTGTTTCTTCATATTTTCGAGCTTAGTTAACAGTAGTGTTGCCTGGTGTCCCGATTTGCGCGGGACTTCCCGATTTTTAGGGGTCTGGGGGCGCGTCCAGATTTGTACCAGCTCGGGACGCTAAATGTCCCGATTAATCAAAAAAATATATTTAGGAAATTAATATAATACTATACTTGCACTATAAGTTTAAAACGCAATAAATAAAACCCAGACTTAAAAACACCTTGTTATTTGTTTACTATCCCGATCTGCAACCCTAAATACCGATTGTTTTGACCTCGTGTATCGATTTAATACAAATCGGACCTGGCAACACTAGTTAACAGTGTCCCTAATAATATGGAGATAAAATACTTACGAATAGAGATAAAAGGAGTAACTATGGACCTCACACTAAGGCTATAAACCATTTTATACCAGGCTGGGAATAGACATATGGCTAGCAAGGGTTTTTTCATTATAAAAAGAGTGTTCCACAAGCCTAATTTTTTTTAACAATTTGACGACCTCCGTGGCCAAGTGGTTTGTACGCCGGGTTTCATGGTGTCGCCGACTCGAGAGGTCCCGGGTTCGAATCCCGGTGGGGGCAGTATGTATTTATTTATTTATTTACTAATTATGCTCGCCTGGTAAATAGCCGTATCGCCATATACTATAGATGCTTGCGATACCATTACGGTTGCCACCTTTTTTTTGTCCAAATAAAGTACATTGGATATTAAAAGTACAAAAAAGTACATTGTGTCCGAAATTAAGTATTTTTTATTCCACTTTATTAGTAAGCTTAAATATCTATTTTACATTGCTTCTACCACTAAAAATCTGTAGTTCTTTTCCGCAACGGGAGAGGTCATGGTACAAAGCCATACATACATACAGCCACGACAATGTCGCAAGAATGAGCTAAGAGCGACATATTTTTTATACATACTGAATGTGCGGTTTAGGCAAAAATGTTTCCTATCAATCTCTTTTTGTATATTTTATTCAAAATTAATACCCGAGTAATCAAACCACATTAAATATTGCATTTTCGCGTACTTTATTGTCGGCATAAAGTATAGAGTACAATTGGACGTAGTTACGCGAAAACGTTCCAACCCACAGCGACCCCATTTTGAGATAAACGCAATTTTGTGTTTTAGCGGTACACTTTTTCCCTGTAATTATTTCAGGCAAATACTATTGGTGTTACTGTGGAATGCCAAACTGGTTATTGAATGATATGCATATTTTTTGTAAATACATAATACAAGGGGCATATAAATAGGTAAAACGAGTTTGAAACGTTTTCGCTAAATTTAATTTTGTATGAACCTTGTTAAATAGCAATTGTGCATAAACGTTCCAGAACGAATTTAAGTGTATTATTTTATAAATATATCTAAAATAAATATGTAAAATAATAAATAACAATGAAGAACATACAAAAACAACAAAAAAAAATTGAAAATGTATTACAAAAAAAATAGAACGTGATCTTTTGAGCTTAGAACCTATGCCAATTTGCTGATATGGTTCCAAAAGTTATCAAAAACTTATATTATAAACATTCAATTTTCATCATCGTATTCTATGATCTCGAAGTCCGGAACTCCACCAAACCCATCAACATCATCAGTGCTTCTTCAGAACTTTGAAGCGTTCTATAAAATTGAAGGCAATCCACTTCCTGTGCACCTCTTCTACCTCTCCTTCTACCAATACATAACAATGCCCAGTATCATTAAATGCACTATGGATACCACTATTGTAGAACTAAGTAAAAAAGTTAAACCTCTTCAAGTTTACAAAATGACAAAGACTGATTTTTTTAGTACAACTAAACTGGAAAAGAAGATTATCAATAGGAAGAAGTTTACAGACTCATCTAAAGTTAGTTGGCTACATACAAAAGAAATTAAGTTGGATAAAGATAAAATGTTTTCTATTTTTATGCGGTCTACGATGGAAGACGATTTCAATGAGTTGAAAATTGATAAAAGAATAAAACGAGAACTGCAATACATAAAAGAATCTGATTTTTGCTTATTGTGGCCTAACGACAAACCGATTGCTCCAGCGAAATTAGTGGACTTACAATCCATGTACCACTACATACCCGAGGATTGCCTTCAATTTTATAGAACGCTTCAAAGTTCTGAAGAAGCACTGATGATGTTGATGGGTTTGGTGGAGTTCCGGACTTCGAGATCATAGAATACGATGATGAAAATTGAATGTTTATAATATAAGTTTTTGATAACTTTTGGAACCATATCAACAAATTTTTGGCATAGGTTCTAAGCTCAAAAGATCACGTTCTATTTTTTTGTAATACATTTTCAAATATATTTTTTTGTTGTTTTTGTATGTTCCTCATTGTTATTTATTATTTTACATATTTCTTTTTGGTTTATTTTTATAAAATAATACACTTAAATTCGTTTTGGAAAGTTTATGCATAATTGCTATTTAACAAGGTTCATACAAAATTAATTTAGCAAAAACATTTCAAACTCGTTTTACCTATTTATATGCTCCTTGTATTATGTATTTACAAAAAATATGCATATCATTCAATAATCAGTTTGGCATTCCATAGTTAAACCAATAGTATTTGCCTGAAATAATTACAGGGAAAAAGTGTGTAAATTGCAAATTGGGGTTGCTGTGGGTTGGAACATTTTCGCGTTACTACGTCCAAATATACCATAGTTATTTATTTTGGTAAAAAATATCTTTTTCTCTAGAACATATTTAATAGCAAAAATGGATCAAGTATATGTGGATTGTTTATAGCTAAAAATTTTAAAATAATATATTATAATAATAGGTTTCAATTTATTTAGAACAGTGTTCGCAGCTTAAAAAAACAGTATGGATTAATCTAAAAGGTTTCAAATTACATGGAACATTTTTGCAGAAATAAAAAATGTATAAAGATTTTGCAAAAACGTTCCAACCCACATGGATCATTTAAGAAACCATTAAATGTGCGTTTTATGAATTTAGTATAATGTTCCAAGACAAGTGGAACATTATAACGATATGTTATTCTATTAAGAGTTTTTAACAATATGTTTCAGTATGCATGTAATGTTTTTACTTTATTTTGAGTACACGTCCTTGGCATAATGGTGGGTTGGAACATTTGGGTTAAACTTTATTGATGAAACTAACTTAAAAATACTAGCATCTTTGTGTGCACATGATGTAATATGGCAAAAATAGTACCCTGGTTATGGTAACTCATTTTCGAGTGACTTGTGGGTTGGAACGTTTTCGCGTAACTACGTCCAATTACCCGAAATAACGTACAATACTTTATAATAAAGTACGGGTGGCAACCCTAGATAACATAGTATCACTTGGTTTTTGGCGGGATTTCATCGAGTGTGGTTGGCGTCTTATTTTAATTATTCTTAAATTCGTTCATAGTGGATATTGTGAAATAAAATTGGTGTGATTTTGTATTACAACTGTCTGCGTAACTGAAGAATTAGTAGAATCGTCAAAATATACGCTATTCCGGTCAAGTGGACATGAGAATTTTATTGTAGTATTGACTACCTCACAGAAGCTTATCGAAAAAGCCAGCTCGATATATTTCGTGCCAAACACTTCAAGAAACATTAGAATGCGTCACACCGACATTCTAATGTAAAAAGAAAAACAGAATAATTTAACTTAAGACTAGGCTGTATGGGCATTGTTCCCCTTGCCTTCCCTGAAAAGAACTTAACAAAAAAAAAATAGTATCACTTGCACCTACCACCATCTTGCTACCCCGTGGAGCTTTGGGACCTTACTCACAGACTAAGGCCCGTATTACAGAATGGCAACTTAGTGTTGATCTTTACTTAAGTACAGTTAGGAAGGGATGTCGCTATGTGCTATATATAGCGACATCCCTTTCTAACTATGCTCAAGACTAGATCAATCACTGAGAATCTTTCTATAATACGGGCCTAAAACACAACACTAGCAAACGATTAAGTTATTTCAATGTACCTACTCTACTGAATGGATACTCCAATTTGAGCGGAAGAATCCGCTTTGTCCTAACTAGGTACCTCCCAACATTGTGATTGCAAAATGAAGACTGAGATTTTGTTTTAAACTTTTATGGTCACTAACATTATAGCTATTAACGGGATTGTTACCATGTACCTTGTTTTTTATGAGTCTCCGATATTTCGGAAAAACAAGGTACAGGGTAACAATAGGGTATTTGACAAGTTTTAGAAAACGATCTCACGTAATTGACTAATGTTTATGGAGTCCGTAAAAAGTGGATATTCATCATTCTGTTGTGTATTTCAGTAAAAATAACCAAATCAAAAACTCCATTTTCAAGTTGCCGCAAAAACGTTTCTCTGGACAATATGGCGTCTTACTAGTGTGTGACGTCACACGACTGTTATTAAAACGTCAAGCAATACAATGTAATGTCACTATAACCGGAACTTTACTTGCGTGTGACGTCATTTTAGGCTCCGCCAATCCCAAGCGTTTTGGGTCACGTGACAATAGATAAGAAAACTATTTATTATCTTTTCGTGGGTTTTTAGTAAAATTATATTATATTTGTAAAAATAGTAAAATCCACTGCCAATATTCATTCTAAGCACAGATGCTAACCATTGGCAATTATTTTTAATACTGTCAAATACCCTATCCCGTTAATAGCAATGAAGATTGAGATATTTACCTATGTTATCCGTCAACATCTTTACATTATCGCTTAGGTTTTTGAGTTCGGTGTTGACTTCGTTTATGTAGTTGAAGAGCGCATAATTCTCCTCCTCGCGCCGCGTGAACTCTGATATTAGTTTGTCCACGTCGTCCTCACCAGTGAACTCCTGAAATTATGCAAATAACAATAAAGAAGTCAATATGGAACACAATCAGATTACAGAACAAATAAATAAATAATAATAATAAATATTTCCAACACTCACACCAATTCGTCTAGCCCCAAAGTAAGCACTATAAGGCTTGTGTTATGGGATACTAGGGTAACGGATAGAATACATATACTGTACATATATTTATATAGAAAATACATATTAAACATCCATGACTGGAGTACAAATGCTCGTATTCATCACACAAACATCTGCCCCCACCGGGATTTCGCTGACACCATGAAACCCAGCGTCCAAACCGTGGCCGAGTCCACGGAGGTCGTTAAAGAACAAAAGGCAGAAGGAGCGCAAGTACACGCAATGCGTGCCACCAAAGCAAATACGAATTCAAAAGTGCTTTTTTTGTCTTTGTGAACAGTTATTACGATGTATGAACACAGCGGCACAGTTTTGATAAAAACCTTAATATTTACGGGACGTATTCACAACACCATGCGTTGTGGTTTACTGATGCGAATTGAAAGTCGCTTTTAACTTTGTATTTGCTATGGTGCCATGCATGCGTGTTCCGTGTTCTCCATCTGCCTCTTGTTCTGTAAACTGAGGGAACACAAGTATATTTATGCAGGGAAAGTTAGATGTTGGTAGCTCGCTTGTGCTATATCGTGTTGCGGGAGCCATGTCACAGGGTCCAAACCACAGAACACAGAAAGAGATCATTAGGTGTAATGGCATGATGCCTGTTGTGTTCTGAACCTTTAGCAAGTAGGTAGCTTAAGGTTCAGACAACAGCTGTATCTGCTTTATCGTTAAGTTTGACCATGACTTATTGATAAATGTCTTGCCAGGAAGACGTGAAACCAGGGACCAAGAAATTAATACCTCATAGATATAATAGTCAGTATATTTAAATAAAGAAGATTATTCTAGATTGTTTTGCGTAGGTATAAATATAATCATGGCCAAAAAAATAACCTAAATAGAGGACATTCCTACATAAACATTTTTTTATATAATTAGGTAGGCAAATGACTCCACCCACCTGATGTCAGAATACCAGTGCTGTTATAGTGTGGAATCATTCAAGGTATGGAATGTATTTTGTCACTATCTACTTATAGCACTATTAAGCTGTCCTATTACCTTAGTCATTTTTATGTTTTTCTTAGTGAGTGTATGATGTATGACTTATAAAAGCTATTTTCATTCTTTCTGACGTTAGGTCCTGGTAGAGTCCAGACGGGAAGATAGCTGGTGTAGCCGTTTGAACTACCACACCAGCCATCCTTAACTTGTCGTCGTGTACCCTTAGTACGAGTTTGAGCTCACGAAAACTATCATAGTTTTCGTACTCGTAAATTTTGTTTCTATGTCCATTTTGGTGAAAAATAACCAAATATACTTGAAATCTAAGAAGACGCAAATGCTTTAATGAAAGAATTTAAACACTGTTTATTTGTATTGAAACGAAAACAATAAGATCAGTACTCTTACTACGAGTGCGAGCTCACGAAAACTATCATAGTATTCGTAATTGTAAAACTAGTACTACGGATACTGTATGCTTCTTCTCGCATTTTTGTAAGGACTTCGAAGTTCCTAACCTTGATGGCCTCCAGTATGGTGATGTAGTTGTTGTAGGCCCTCATCTCCTCTTCCTGCTGCTCCAGTCGTTTGGCCTCCGCCTTCGCATGAGCCACCATGACTTATTGATAAATGTCGTTCCAGGAAGACGTGAAACCAGGGACGTTACATATATGAGGAGCTCGATGGCGCGGGTGGATAGCGCGTTCGGCTGCGATCGTTGAAGTTAAGCAACTTTCGCAGTGTTCGGTCATTGGATGGGTGACCAAAAATCTTCTATCTCGAGTTCCTCCGTGCTTCGGAAGGCACGTTAAGCCATTAGTCCCGTCTGCATCTGCAGTCGTTAGCACCCATAGTTAGTCAGTACTGTATGCTTCTTCTCGCATCTTTGTAAGGACTTTGAAGTTCCTAACCTTGATGGCCTCCAGTATGGTGACGTAGTTGTTGTAGGCCCTCATCTCCTCTTCCTGCTGCTCCAGTCGTTTGGCCTCCGCCTTCGCATCGGCGGCTGTGAGTCGTACCGTCCCTTTGGTCCTTAAGAACTCCTCCAGTTTCATGCTGTGGTCTAACTGGCGCTGTAGTTCGCGCACTTCCTGATAAGAAAGTGAAAATTATATTCAGATATGCTTTTATTTTAACGAATATTAAACTAGTGGATACTGGGCGTGTGCTACTTAGGTACCTGCCTACTACATCTATGCAAAAAAATCGGATGGATTTAGAATACACCATTTCAAGAGGTTGACAAATTTTGTATGGGGAAGTTGTAAACCGACGTCATAAATGGACCACATGACGCTTATAATAATAATAACATTTATTTCTGACTATTTATCCATAATGGTTAGTGACAATCATCTTAAAAATCTAGTGTTAGTAAGTTATAAAATAAAAAATTAACGACTACTGAATCAGTGCCGCCGTATGCTGAATGCATTGTTTTCATACTCTAAAACCATTTTCACATTATTGCCTTGCACATAAAACGGATTTGAAAGGTTTCAATGTCTATAACAGACATGGGTTTTGACTGAATTTTTTTTGAGTTTTATATTAAGACTGTTTTGGCTGCAACTGAAGGCTCAGTAATCCACACTGGGCCCGCGTAGTGGGTCATGGCTCAGTATCTTTATTACTACCATAGAGAAGGCCTATTCCCTAAAAGTAGGGACGTTCAATAGGAAGTGTTATTTAATATATTAAATCCATTAACTGAATGATACCAATCTTTTTTTGTTAGTTGGAAGTTCCAGGATCTGCGCCTTGCCTTGCCTTGCCGATCAGACGCTTCAATTCGTTCGAGCTCCTCCGTGCTTCGTAAGGCACGTTAACCCGTCGGTCCCAGCTATATCTGCAGTCGTTAGCACTCACCAATCTGTACTGAGGTAAGTCACGCCACGACCAAATCTCCCTATTCCATCTATATGGAAGATATGCACCAACGCAGTGGGGACATTAATAGATTGATGATGATGAAAGTTTCCTACGAGTCAAGCCCTGCAAATATTAAAATCCATAATTCCGTTATAATACCATGCAATGCTTCCTGTAATCAATAGCGGCCTTCTCCTTCAATGCGTCGAGCTTCGCGCACCACTCCTCGCGCTGGTCGTACGCGCTGATGGCCTGCTCCACCAGCTCCAGGATTTGCGCCTTGCCGTCCATCAGACGCTTAAGCTGGTTGCGCCATATCATGTTGAAAAATTGCCTGGACAGGACACACAAACTTTGGACGTCTACAGTTGCTGAAATGTTTGTGCCCCGATAAACGTCTGCGATCGTGGAAATAAAGCCATTTAGGCAATTATCGGTCATAGGCGGGTGACCAAACATTTAGTATCTCGATTTACTGAACTTCGGAAGGCACTTTAAGCTTTTGTTCCCGGCTGCATCTGCAGTCGTTAGCACCTACTAATCTACACTGAGAATGCGCGGTTGATTATGTATAAATCTCCTTATTCCACCCATAGGAAAGGCTTTTGCACCAGCGGTGGGGACATGAATCGGCTGATGATGATAACGAAATTTTGCACTTAGAAAAGGGACTCCATTTTTAATGCGAACCAAGTAAGTAGTAGAACAGATTAGTAATCTGAACTAGATCGATGTAGTCGTAGCAATTTGAAAATGTGGCGAATAGTTATTGGCGGAGGGATTTTTCCTAGGGGGCAGCCGCCCCGCAGAGGGTCATCGCGACCCGGGCCGTGCGGGCTTACCGCACGGTCAGCCACGGGGCTGCCTGCGTCCTAGCAGGCACGCTCCCGGAGGTTGATGCCCTGGTACTGTCCCAGGTGCATCAACACCGGGTCGCGGCGAGAGAGCGGGGCGAGCGACCCGTTCTAGAGGAGACAGAACGGGTCCGCACCGAGGCGCAGAGGGAGGCTCCGCGCCGATGGGTGGAGGCACTCGCCAACCCAGCCGCTGGCCACCGGACGATCGAGGCGATTCGTCCGGTGTTGGAGGAGTGGGTAGGGCGCCAGCGGGGCACCCTCACCTACCGCCTGGTGCAGGTACTGACCGGACATGGGTGCTTTGGTCACTACCTGCACCGAGTCACCCGTCGGGAGGAGACGCTGCAGTGTCATCACTGCGCCTCTCCCGACGACACGGCCGAGCACACGTTGATCGTGTGCCCGGCCTGGCGAGATGAGCGCCGCGATCTGATCGCGGCGCTCGGCGAAGGAGGCCTATTCACGCTGCCAAGTATGGTCAGAGCCATGCTTGGTAGCGAGGGAGCCTGGAGGGTTGCCGCCTCTTTCTGCGAATCTGTGATGGCGCAGAAGGAGGCAGCGGAGAGGGAGCGGGAGGAGGACGCTCTAGCCGCCCCTCTCCGGCGTAGACGGGTGGGCCGAAGAAGGCAGGCAGCGGTGACTGCCGGTCTTCGACGGCCCTAAGGTGGCCTGGGCGCGGCCTGACCAGCCGCGCGCCCTAGGTGCCGCTCCGGCATAGGCCACCACGTCTGGGGACTGCCTAGTACCCTAGCGCAGTCCCCCTGAGGCGCGTGGCCCGGTCCACTCGTTGGGCCGGGCCTGCCCGGGGGCGGGCTCGGAGTTGTGGCGCACGCAGGTGCGTCGGCCCCGAGACGCCCCCACATGGGCGTAGGAGGGTACCGGGGGGTTTTAGTGGAGTAGGATCAGTGTGGCCTTCCGCACTGGTCCTGCTTGAGTAGGGTCGGCACTGTTTCCCGTGCCGGCGAGTCCCACACACGCCGTGCGCCTAGTCAGCGTCACGGTATGGTGCGTAACTGCATTTCCCCTCGTCATAAAAAAAAAGGGGGCAGCCGTCCAGTTGAACTGACATTCATTATGAAATATATTTTATGACTGTAAAGTAATTTTTCAGCACTCGGATTTTAGGTCTGGTAGCGACTGTGGGACAGGATCTCTCCGTATCCAGCGTGGTACGTGCCATGCTGGGCAGCGACAGATCCTGGAAAGCGGTCGCCTCTTTCTGCGAGGACGTTATCTCGCAGAAAAAGGCCGCGGTGGGAGTCCTCGAGGAACAAGCCCACCCGGACTCCCTCCGACACAGGAAAGAGGGATGAGGCGAGCTCGAGTCCGCCCTTAGCCCCCCAGCGGGTCTTCTATGATTGCCCGGTAGGGGATGCATCATAACATCAACGCGACGGGGTAGTGGGACAATTGGACATGACGCGCGGTGGCTCCCAATCCGGGGACCCGTAGTCGTAATCAATAAGTGCGGGGTTAAAAAAAAAATGGGTGGGCAGACTAGTTTCTTGGGTGGCCATTTCATTTCATGTTCCATTCGTGCAGTTAATCTTGTATCCTATTGGTTTCTTACCTATCCCTGAGTAGTTTGTCGATCTCAAGCCGCATCTTGTAGTTGTCGCTGTTGACAGAGTTGAACTTCTTCATGGCTGTGTCCAGCCGGTTCTCCAGTTGGCTGATCACCGTCTGGTTTGTTAGGGTTTGTTCATATGCCTGCAAAAAGCATGATGATATGAACAAAATTATATTTAATCTGTGAAACGCGTCAAAGCTTGTAAGTGGGGGCTCGTGACCTGATGTAACATTTCAATTTAGATATTTTGATTATTTCAATACTTTTTCATAATTTACCTGATACAAGATGAAAAAAAATGTCATCATCATTTTAGTATTCCTCTAAATAAAAAAGTACGCTGAAAATATCAATTATAACATCCGGAGACGGGTCTTAAAGGACCAGAAGCGTATCTATTGATTAAATAGTAATTACATAATTTTTAAGCATTTATTTGCTAATTGTTAATGTATAGAATATTTTACTACAAAAAAATCCACGTGGACCAGTAGCGGATGGGACCCGAACCCGCACCCTCCGCTATTCAAGCGGATCCTCTGACCATTATGCTACCGCGGCCCTAATGACCGTGTCGAATTCTTTCAATTATTTCTGAGGCTGCAACGCAGCGCCATCTCTTCGTATTGTAAGTAACCTACAATGTCAAACGAATACCTTAAACATTTGAAAGAAGAAACAGCATCTATATTTATGTACCTTGAGATTAGAATATTTATATATGACGTTGTACTATATTTTCTTTACAAGCTAATAAAGTTCTGGATCTTTGACACTCTCTCTTATAAAAAAAATGACTTCATGACCGTTTAAAAAGCAAAATGTTCCGTTTTACTAGATAAATGAACAATAAATGCAGTGGCGGACTAAGCTCGTCTGAGGCCCGGGGCGCCAATGCTAATGAGGCCCCCCCCAAATGAAATTTAAATTCCAATTAAATTATTTCGGCTAAATAAACATACATACCTACAATATGGTACATATTGACTAGAAACGTAGGGGCATATTGACTAGAAATTACGGATTATGATTTCTAGGCTAAATTTTACGAAGAATTACTTACTTTTTCCAAATACTTTAAAATGCACTAACTCAACTCTAAACTCATTTACTTTTATACCGCAACAAAAATCAAAAACACTACATATTACACTTTTAGTGAGTTTACTTTGAACGGATTTTAAATGAGGCCAATTTTTATTTTTCGACGTAAACATAGTGAATTTTAATAAATGTAGTCGTACAAGAGTGAATTATTTGTACTTCATTCATTCAGGGATTCCTGAGGAAGTACCCGCTACAGAGACGGGAGTTCCCCCAGCGTATTGGACGCGTTCAGCGAAGTAAAAAGAATATTAGTACCGCGTAAAAAGTCTAGATGTCTGTAGTGTTTTGATCATGATGAAATTATGTAGGTACTAAGCACATTTTTAAAGTCTAGTTTAGGATTTGAACAGGAGAACGCGGAGGCATTTGGGGGCCCCCCAAGATCGGAGGCCCGGGGCGGGCCGCCCCTTCCGCTCCCCTGTTAGTCCGCCACTGAATAAATGTACACATTTTTTTTGTAAGTATATAGTAAAAAGGATATTCTAAACTCCTTCAAATTATGACATATTTGGCCTTAATTTTAATTATAATAAATCACTGAAGGCCTAAAATAATACATTTTATTATTCTGATCAGATTTGAGACAAGGCTGTATGATAATTAATCTTTTAATTTTTACAAATGGACAAAATAAAACTTCACAGATTTCCTGTCAGGCCGACAAATAACAAATTATTTAATGGCCCTGGAAGCCAATGCTTTAATGAAAAAGAAGAAAGAAGAAAGACAAAATATTTGTATTTATTTTTGCTTTAAAAAAACTTTTTGTGAAGAGTTAATCAGAGAAATGGGGAAGAAAGATTCTAATAAAATGCGAAATTGATGACACTGTAAATAATTGGCCACATCTTTTATCAACTATAGTAAGGTAATGACATACGTAGTAGGAGTTCTCATAATTTTCAAGATTGTGACTTTATTAAAAGTTCCCGTGTCTTTTTTCATAGAAATTATGAATATTCCGCTATTCAGCAATAAATATTACTTACAAACCCATACAAAACTTTACCATGTCCTTTAAGGTTTTCATTAAATTCATTTCCTTACCAATTCCGAGCCCGTCCCCTTCGCCTTGAGACCCTTGATCTCCTTCTGCACCTGCTTCAGGAGGAAGTTCAGCTCCCCGATGTTGGTGCGGTGTTCCCGCACTTCGGACGAGAACCTGTCGTGGTCTTTCAGTAGGAGGACCAACTTCTCTCTCGTCTTAGCGTTCTCCATCACATTGGATGTGCTTTTTGTCAACTGTGGGTGGTATAATTTTTGATAATACCGCAGGTTAATTTTGCCTGGCATTTTAGTTAGTAATTTAAAAATTTTATTTCAAAATCACAAGTTTTAAGTCCTAATTTTAAGTTCTGATAAATACCCTTATCCTGTTCGAGACTCAAACTAAAAAGCAATTAATTTTTTATTTGGTCCCGGGTTCGAATCCCGGTGGGGGCAGATGTTTGTGTGATGAACATGAGCATTTGTACTCCAGTCATGGATGTTTAATATGTATTTCTATATAAATATACTTATATATGTACAGTATATGTATTCTATCCGTTACCCTAGTATCCCATAACACAAGCCTTACTTTAGGCTAGTGCTAATTGGTGTGAGTGTTGGAAATAATTTTATTATTTATTCAGTCTAAACTGTACAAGTTCTTTTAAACGTCAAATGCATGCCGTCGGTTCGCAACTCTACGTGGCGCAAGACCTTATACTTGAGCAGAATCGGAAAGAAGCTCACAGTAAGAGTTCTTTTTTCCCTTGTTTTATTTCAAAATATGTAGTGTCGTCAATTAAAAGGTAAAACAAAAATTTGTAAAAACTTGTAGATATTGATGTAAACTTCTATCACCTTATTATTTTACTAGCTTTTGCCCGCGACTTCGTCCGCGTTATCGTCGTTTTTCGTAAAAAAGTAGCATATGTCCTTCCTCAGGGTTCCGTGGTTTTGATGTGACAGACAGATTAACTTTCGTATTTTAGTAAGGAAATATAATACTGTTAAAAATATCGCAATAAGGAACCGCAGAATATTATTATTATCACTGTGCCCCGAGACCATCAGCGTGTAACTCCTTGTATGTTATTATGTTAATGTATTGGTAATATTGTTTAGATCGCTTTCACATGAGTCTTAAGTACATATAGAATGAAAATACTTCAGCGCAAAGCTTCCGGGTAGACTACGTTGAAATTTGACCCGTCCGGAACGTGAACATAAAAAATTCTAGGACTGCTAACCCGGGAAAGACCGACATAACTGACCATGTGAAAAACAACTGACACCGAGATCTACTCCAACAACACGAAAGGTCTGCCCTTGAGCCTTATTTATTGTCATTGCATAACACACCGATACTGGGAATTGCGTTCTTTTAAATTGGAATGGAAAATTATTTGGTATTATGGGAATTCTGGGAATAAAGATGGTTTCTCCTGCACCGCAACCTATTAAAATTTGAGCCTCGATTACATTTTGTTGCAACTGGGTTACTTTAAGCCGAGTTCCATTGCAAATTTGTGGTGGTCTTAAATTTCGGAGCAGAATAATCGGAATGCCAATTTTTAAACAAATTTCATGAGAAGGAAGTACGGGCATATTTAAAGAATTTAAAAATTCTATCGGGTAATTAGTGGCTTCTTGTTCATCGGCCATTCTATTTATTGAACTATAAACTTTGCTTTCCCCCTGGATATTCGACAGTATTTTATTATTAATCTCAGATGCCTGGTCATTGCGAGGAGTTAAAATGGACCTTTCGCATAGCCAAGAATTGTTCTTATTTAATTTTTTACGTCACCGTAAACTGACGATGTAAGATGTTGTTGGGATTGCACTATACAACATAACTCAGGCGTCAGAATAAGTTTTCCTTGGTGTAGCAGTGGATAGGTATCTTGGTGAAGGTATTTTCTTTAATAATATATCAGAAAATTTACGATCATCCGGGTAATCTACAGTTCTCACTCGCATATTTATAGTCAAATGCACCGATTGTATATCACGCCACAAATAAGAGCTTTTCAGGCAAGCCCTAACCTCAGCAGCTCGGGTTCCCCGTGGTATTACCATTAAGGTTTGTCGGAAATCACCACAAAATAAAACTGTGATACCGCCCATGAGTCGATCATTTTGTCTTATATCTCTTAAAGTTCTGTCTACCGCTTCTACTCCTTTTCGATGGGCCATCGTACATTCATCCTATATGATTAAATTACACTTTGAACGAATATTTAAACACTAAATGAAATAAACTACCAAAACAACTAATACGTGGTCCTAACTTTAGCTACCTTACACATAAAATCTAAGTGACTATTTGAACTAAAATATTCTTATAGAATTATAACCAGAAACATATACAACTCACAACAAAAAAGAAATGAAAATAAATCTGAAACGCCTGTGCAATACTATCTACCTATACCTCCTTCACTTAAAAATAAATACTTACAACTACTTTAATTAATAAAAGTACCGACGCTTAATAATTTTTAATTTGAACGAATATTTAAACACTACCAAAACAACTAATACCTGTTTTACAAAATAACAACAAAAGAAATTCAAATAAACTATTTAAAGACTAAAAGTCGCGCTGATAAGCACGGTTTCGGTCTCCCAGGCGGGGGAGCAGATGAGAAATCCTCATGGATACCCTACAGCCGGCTGCAAGGTTATGTCAGACTCGTACTGACTAAAAAACACCCGTAGGGGCTGCCTCTGGCCGGGAAGGCCTCTAAGGCTTCATCGGAAGCGATCGTCCCCCAGGGGGGGAGCGACGCAGAAAACAGATTTAGACAGCTCGCTCTCGGACCTTTGATACCCTACCGCTGCCGCGACCCGTGTCGAGCGCGGCAACCGTTACACAAAAATAATCCTTATAGCATGATTCAGTATTCACGTGCGACGGCGCGATGGCTTATTTCATGTATAAGTTTGGTGTTTCTATACCGAGTATTGTAAACGTAAGAGTAAACAAATATGATCAGAATGCTCCGAACTGCTAAGCTATCGGGAGTTACAGGTGTTATTGTGAGTCAACCATAAAAGATAGACATATGCTGTTGCGGGATATTTTTTAGACAATTTTATGTAGAATATTTCCGTCATACATGATTTCTATGTAACTTTAATCATTAAGGCTGCACACGCGACGGAAGCTTAAAAAATGGAGTAACTTCTCCCGTTTTCCCAACATTTCCCTTCACTACTCTGCTCCTACTGATTGTAGCGTGATGAAAAGTATACTATAACCTGCCCAGGAGTATGAAGAATAATTGTACCAAGTTTTGTTAAAATCCGTCCAGTAGTTTTTGTTTCTATAAGGAACAAACACACAGACAGACAGACAGACAGACAAAAAATTTACTGATTGCATTTTTGGCATCAGTATCGATCATTAATCACCCCCTGATAGTTATTTTAAAAATATATTTCATGTACAGAATTGACATCTCTACAGATTTATTATAAGTATAGATTTTTATTGATAATTCCTAACCGACTTCCTAGAACGGAGGAGGTTCTCCAATCGTATTTTTTTTTTATATAAACACTCCATTTATCACGCTTATATTGTAAAGGGTAAAGTTGTGTTCTGGAGCGATTTTAATAAAATTTGGTATGGAGTTAGATGACACCCTCGATTAACACATCATAGGCTAAGTTTTACTACGAGAAAATATCCCTAATAAATCGCGAGTAACACCGCGGGGCACAGCTAGTGTCATATAAAGCTCGCTGTATCTTTAATAGGTATGATGACTATTTATTTTTCTTCGTTTATCAGGTAGATTATCAAAAAGTATTGGACATGTATTTTTTCTTTTTTCACATAACATAAACATTGCAGAGATATATTGATTTGAAAAGTCGCATGACGTCACTTTTTGGTACAATGTTCACTCAAAAGTGACGTCACGAGCCCCTACTCCCAAACTTTGACGCGCTATAACTTTGTCATTTTTTGGTTGACTGCCCAAAGAAAAAATACGTGTCCATTATTTTTTGATGATCTAACTGACGGACTAAACAGAATCGTTTACTGTACCCCGTCATCACCCCTTTCGTTTACTGTCTTCAATAGTAGGCAAGTATTCAACATTTGTTACGAACTATTCTCATTCACATCACGTGCGGCTTAAAGCAAAGCCGGGCGTGCGTGTATGTATGCGTATGGAACTATGGATCCTCGCATCAGGGCGACGATATAGGTACTTGATTAGGTTACTGTTTAAAAAGTGAAAGTGAAAACGAGTTATAGAAACCTCATTTTTCGTACCCAAAAGATGTTAGAAGGAGTCCTGTACCGTACCGTCCAGCCGTAATCAGTTCTTTAAAACCTTATATTTGAACGTAGGCAATCCTGAAAGGATTCCAGATTCATCATCATTAGCCTATTAATGTCCCCACAGCTGGGCACAGGCCTTCCCTATGGATGGAATAGGCAGATTGGGCCATGGCTACCACGCGGCGGGCCCACTGCGGATTGGTGGATGCTAACGACTGCAGATGCAGCCGGGACCAACGGCTAAATGTGCCTTCCGCAGCAACGGAGGAGCTCGAGATAGTAAATTTTTGGTCACCCATCCAATGACCGACCAATGCGAAAATTGCTTAACTTCAACGATCGCAGCCGAACGCGCTAACCACTTGCACCATCGAGCTCCTCAATCCAGATTACATCTGTTGAAATATAAAGTTCGTTTGCTCAGATTCCAAAAACTGTACTTGCGCTTGTCATAACAAAAAAAGTGCTAGCGCCAAAAAGCAGCTATGCAATATTCCTTAACAAATAACTATTTCGTTATGTACCTTTAACCAAAAAAGTACCTTTAGTTCCAACATTATCTTATCCAGCTCGTCCTGCAAGCTCTTGATGATGTTCCTCTGGACCCTCAGAGTCGGTTGCACGCTGCTGATCACAGTAGCCCGGTCTATCTCCATCACACGAAACTGAAATCATAGTAAGATGTTCAGAGTCATCATTCTTATAATTAACTAGCGGTCGCCCGCGACTTCGTACGCGTGGAGTTAGTTATTATATCCAAAAAGTGCTTACACATGTAATTCGACTTGATGTTTTTGAAATCTCATAGATGGCGCTGTTTTAAAATTGTCTATTATGTTTATCGGCTTAAGTTACCTACTTATAGTGTGAAGCTAGCTTATAGCATGGTAAAACGTTGAAGAACTAAAGGTTCACTGCTCGTTCCCCGTAGGTGATAGCGTGATAATATGTAGCCTATATGTTGACCCGACTTCTTATACTACCCGACTATCGCGCCAAATTTGAAGTAAATCCATGCAGTACTTTTTGAGTTTATCCCGGACATACATACAGACAAACAGACAAAAAATCTAAAAACTATATTTTTGGCTTCGGTATTGATTGTAGATCACACCCCAAGTATTCTTTTAAAAAAATATTCATTGTACAGTTTTGACTTTCCTACCATTTTATTACTTATATGTATAGATTCGATAATTCATTCAGCATGACGATTCACAAGCACGTGTCCCCTCCTTTCGTCAGTCTGCTGCCACTTCGCATTCTATTGAAATCATTGACCACATATATTTTTATTTATTTATTAGGACCACGACAGAAAGTTACATTAAATCTTACTTTTAAACATTATAGTAGTGATACATACAAAATGCAAAAATCTATTGAAGGTAGCCACATCATGCCTATGAGACAGTACGAACGACCAGGATTTTTATTAAAAAACAAACAGAAACATATCAAAACTATATGCATGACTAGCGGCCCGCCCTCGCTTCGCTTCGGTGTAGACTACAGTTTTTGTTCTCAGGCTTGTATTATACACAATGACACTCATCTATGATTCTTCTTATACCTGCATGCAAAGTCTCAGCCCGATCGGTTTAAAATTGACAAAGTTTCATACAAACTTTCATTCCCTATTTTATCCCCTTGGGGGTAAAATTGATCAAAATCCTTTCTTAGCGGATGCCTACGTCATAACACCTACCTGCATGCCAAATTTCAGCCCGATCCATCCAGTGGTTTGGGCTGTGCGTTGATAGATTACTATGTCAGTCAGTCACCTTTGAGTTTTATATATATAGATTAAAGGGCACCTGTGCTCGAATTTTAATCGGATTTAATGCGATGCAATGCGAAAATTCAATGTTTTCTTTCTTTGTTAGAGTTTAAAAATAGTTTTTATAGTAGGGAATCCTAAGGGGGGATATTTGGAATTACTCGAGCGAGCGCGGCCTTCGATCAACAATACTATCGAAGGGCGCGGCAGAATAACATAAGGGCAACCTTGCAGCTTTTGAATTACTCCCACCATACCTGAGCCTTCCACAGTGGCGGCGCTAGACCACATGTGGACGTCGGCGACATCAAGTTCGCGAGGCCTATTTTACTTCGCAGTAAAAAACCGTTAAATTAAGTGAGCCAAATTATAAAATAACGTTGTAAACGAGTTTTATTGTTGATTCATGGTGTTGCCAGACAGACGATTCTGAATACCCGTAAAGTACTACTCGCTTCCATCACGCACATGTTCCAAATTAATAAAAGTCATTATCACCTGCTTAGCTATTTCCCCGAATTGTTCGGGGTCGGCTACCTAAGCCAGGCCGGGAGAAACGAAAATAAATAACTACTTGAAATGCTAGTAACTTGTAAAATTTTTTTGCGAGGCCCCCTCAGGCGTGAGGCCGTCGGCGGTGGCCGACGTCGCCGACGCCTAGCGCCGCCACTGGCCTTCCATGTAGGGCAAAACGTCTAGTACTGGCAAAGAAATCAATGAATGGCCATGAGTTTTGTCAGCGTCCTAATGGTCAGTCTTTTGAAAAGAGGCTGCATCTTGTCGATTTTCAAAGTTCTTGTCCTAGCCTCTTATTTATTAAAGAAAACATGTGTTTTAGTGCAATCGTACCTGTCTCTGAAGCTTCGCAAGCTCATCTTCAGCTATCTTCTCCATCTCCATTTCATCAGTCGGGATCGCCATTATTATAAAGTTCTTTTCAACACTCTTTTATAATTAAATCGTCTTGTTTTACAGCAAATCTGCTCAATGAACGCGGCTATGTTAAATCGATTTGAGTAACCAAGCAACTATTTTAAAGGTCTTCATATTCTAAAGACGCTTTAACGATACAAATATTCGTTAAATAAAAGGTATATGCAATACCTATAACATTGAAAATTATGTGTCAATTATTCATCATCATCATCATCAGCCTATTAATGTCCCCACTGCTGGGGCACAGGCCTTCCCTATGGATGGAATAGGGAGATTGGGCCATGACCCACCACGCGGGCCCAGTACGTATTGGTGGGTGCTAACGACTGCAGATGCAGCCGGGACCAACGGCTTAACGTGCCTTCCGAAGCACGGAGGAACTCGAGATAGTAAATTTTTAGTCACCCATCCAATAACCGACCATTGTGAAAGTTGCTTAACTTCAACGATCGCAGCCGAACGCGCTAACCACTTGCGCCATCGAGCTCCTCGAATGCCTCCTTCATCATATTGTAACTGCTAAATTTTCATGTTAAAAATAAAAAAAAATATTTTTTTAAATTTTACTGCATTTCTAGTTATTTTCTTTAAATATTAATGAAGTTAACTTTGAGTTTAGCAATGGATCATGACTTCATATTAGTATTTTAACTGTATGTCATATAATATGGGAGTAGGAAAATATTAAAAGACCGGGGGAATCAAAAAAGCTCTTTCTTAAATTCCTTTTAATTGATTCTACATAGAGGTTAAAAGTCATTTTTTTTGAATTTAAAATTATAATCACTGCGATTTAAAGTATCAAATAGGACACGCGACGAAATCAATTGAATGAGGTAAATATAGTATATAAATAAATAATTTTTTCCAACACTCACACCAGTTAGCCTAGCCCCGAAGTAAGCACTGTAAGGCTTGTGTTATGGGATGCTAGGGTAACGGATAGAATACATATACTGTACATATATAAGTATATTTATATAGAAATACATATTTAACATCCATGACTGGAGTACAAATGCTCGTATTCATCACACAAACACCTGCCCCCACCGGGATTCGATCCCGGGACCTCTTCTGTTGCCTAACATTAAATAAGCACTGGTTAGCGCGTTCGGCTGCAATCGTCATAAGTTAAGCAACTTTCGCAGTGGTCGGTCATTGGATGGGTGACCAAAAATTTACTATCGCGAGCTCCTCCGTGCTTCGGAAGGCACGTTAAGCCGTTGGTCCCGGTTGCATCTGCAGTCGTTAGCACCCACCAAACCTGGGCCCGCGTAGTGGGTCGTGGCCCAATCTCCCTATTCCATCCATAGGGAAGGCCTGTGTCCCAGCAGTGGGGACATTAATAGGCTGATGATGATGTTGTAGTAGTAGCTACCGAAAGCTTGTTGTTTTAAGATCAGTGTTTTAATATTTTGCGCTCCAAGGGGCTATATTATTAACTTCTTCTTTTATTCCTGTCAAAGTTAAAATGAGTAACATGTGACTATTTTCTTAACATTATAAAGTTACGCCCATATGTATCGTACACTTACCTGCAAATATATAGTTCTAAATTTAAGTTAGCCCTTTAAAACAAGTTTTTAGTAATCCTAAGTATAATATTATAAATGCGAAAGTGAGTTTGTTTGTTCGTTTAGCTGTCACGGCTAAACCGCTGAACGGATTTGGATGGAATTTGGCACGCATACAGCTTATGACCTGGATTGAGATAAAGGATGAAATATAAACTTTTTATACCGGAAAAATGTAAGGTTCCTGAGAGATTTGCAAAAAAAACAAAAGTTAACGCGGACGCAGTCGCGGGCGGCCGCTAGTATGTTAATAATGAGACTGAAGAATCTCTTAAACAAATGTTTGCTAATCGAAATGAAACATTCATTTTGTGTTTTTTTCATCTATTATCGGCCATAAAATATCTTGTGTTTTTGCTGTCTTTAAAAGAGTGTATAAAAAATCTTTTTTCATAAAAAAAGCACCGCAAAGGTCAAAAAGTCTTCTATCTTACCTAATATATAAAATTCAACCACCGCGACACGACGCGGTGTTTGTGGTTAAACTCCTCCGAAACGGCTCGACCGATTTTCGTGAAATTTTATATGCATATTCAGTAGGTCTGAGAATCGGATGTAATCTATTTTTCATCCCCCTAAATGTTAAGGGTAATCCACCCCAAATTTTTTTTTATGGTACAGCATTAGTAAATATATATAACCCTGAATTTTGAACCCTTTACAATCAACCCCTATTTTTTATGGCGGTACGAAGTGCTAGTATGTATATAAAATTCTCGTGTCACAATGTTAGTTACCATACTCCTTCGAAACGGCCTGACCGATTTTTATGAAATTTTATATGCATATTCCATGGGTCTGAGAATCGGCTACTATCTACTTTTCATATCCTTCAGTGATAATGGTTGTCCACCTGAAACGTAGTGTTCTGCAACCTACAATGCGCCTTCGCGCCAAAATTCAAACTATTGGGTATTGTAACGTAGTTTTCTCATATGGGTTAGGAGGAATGTTATCCCAGGAAATTGATAGAACACTACGTTACACACCCCTAATTTTTTTTCTGTATTTTTTTATGTTATTATGATGCGGTATTAAAAAATACATACAACCCTAAATTTTCTTTTCTACCACCCGGCCCTTTTTTTATGGCGGTACGAAGTTCGCTGGGTCAGTTAGTTTCTTTATAAGTTATTCAATAAGTTTATTCGTTTATCAAAACATGGACTTAACTATAATAATTTATAATATCAGTAGTAAGGACAGCCATACTATTCAATATTATATTTCAGATACTGTCTTATGCATTTTAGCGGTTACTAGGCATTTCACAAAAAAAAAAACGATTTTGATGAATATTTATTTGGTTAAAAGTCGACCTCGGACGAGGACATATTCTTAATGTACATTTTATCGTGAAAATAACACTTAAATGAGTAAAATACGAGATGAAAATTTGTATGGAAAATAAATTATTCTACGAAGATGAGGTCTCGTACACAGCTTTGCGAAAATCTATTTAAAAAAGATATCAACGCACCATGAAAAGAGCATCTAACCAGGGCCGTCTTTTACCTATTGGAGGTCTTGGGCATATTAGGATAATGGGGCCCCTATAACTTTGATGTGGATTATGATTTGAAATGGAGCTAGTTAAATAAAAGCTAGGAAGTTTGTATTGTAGTCAGTAATTTAGGTTCGATTTTATCCAAATTATATAAGTTTTTTGGTAATAAATATTGGTTAACGTTTGGTGATCTGACAGGAACTAGGGACTTTGTATTTGATCTGAGGGGGGCCCCTATAGATTGCGGGGCCCTGGGCATTTGCCCAAAGTGCCCACTGGGAAAGACGGGTCTGTATCTAACACAAGTTTTAACGGTTTGTGAACATTTTATTATATCTATAGGGTGCTAAAATTTATTGCAAAAACACCTAATCCAATTAAGATTATGACGCTTCTACCAAAATATCTTGATAAAAGCCAAGGTTTACGTTTGAGGCGCGTGATAATCTAATTTAGATGCTATATAGTTATAAGGATTCTATGAGATCACTTCCTATAGTTAGCAAACAATAAAAAAAAATTCACCATAAATTAATTTCGACTAGCCACTCTCTTCGGATCACCTTGGTTATGTGCAGGTGTCTTGTTCTAACGCATACAATTTGCTTTTGTACCTGGCTATTGCCATCTCTTTTCTTTGCACGTGCAGGCCGTCGGTCATTGATAAAGTAATCAACAGTTAGGAACCATGTGTTTGATGCCTTCTTGCCTCTCAGAGTTATATAGTTTGTAAAATACCATGAAAGTATGAAAATTAATACTTTGGTTGGTTTGGGATTCAAAGACCATTCTTGTTATATAGTGGCATTTTTTAAAGGATTAATGATATTATTTAATTCAGTTACTGAATGAAGCTAGATTGCATTAAATTGTTAGCGTTGGAAGCTTTTTGCTTTACATTTTTTACGACCAGGTTTATCTGAACCAGGTTTATCCGACTTTTAATTTGACATTTTATTGTCTTTGTTTATTTGCCTGACGTATGTGAATTGATTTTATTATTAACACGACTTCTCCGATGGAATCTAATAAAATAGATCTACGAGGCGTTTTATTTCAAAAAAAAACATTATATAGTTTTGCCACCGAACTTTAGAAATATTTTTTTACATAAATTTACATTACAGATTTTATTACATGGAGGAGAGGCGGAAACCATTTCGTCTGTTCATTAAAATAGCCTCCTCATTTTTCAGTAATTTGTTTATGGCAAATTATATGCCTTCGAAGATATTCGCGATCGTTTAAGGTCCTTCTAAAACCACACAGTAAACAGGAATCGTTTTCTGCCTACTGCCATATCTTATCAGCGTCATAATCTTTGAGCGCCGCAGTCCGTTCCGCACTCGAAGGTTCAACTTCGCCTCTGTTGTGATCGGGCGGTTGTCGAGACGACAGCTGAGTCGAAACCAAGCGAGCGACCGATGTGAAACGCGTCCGTGCTTACGGCGTAACGTACCGTGTCAACTTAGTGCAGTGCAGTGTCCGTGAATCGAAATGTTGGTGCGACAAACGTGATAAATTAAAAAAATACCAAAGTCCACTATAATGGCATCAAATAATAAAAATTACGACACAAACGTGCATGTGAACGTATTCAGAAGCGTGAAACTCCAACTGCCCAAATCGAAGCTGCAGCAAGCCATAAACAAACTGTTCAAAAAGAACAACAACAATTATACAAAAATAGTGCAAAGTTAACTCAATTTTACCACCGTTGATTCATTTAGTTGATTTTTAGACGGGATTTCTTTAGTTTTCTTTTGTTTGTAATTAGATAAATGGCTGGTGAAGTTAGTGCAAATATAAGTAGAAGTAGTTATACACATAGCACACCACATCCGCCGGATCGTAATAAACCTAGTTTTATAACAAACGAAACTGAATTCATCGGGAAAGGAGACATAGTGAGGTCATCAACACCGATTACTAGTAAGCATAGAAGAAGTAGGAGTAGAAGTGGAACGCGGATCACGCCTTCAGCTTTGAGTCTTTCGGACGAGAATTTCTACGAGGACTTGGAGGAATACGTGAAGGAGATGGCTGTGGTTAGAGGGGGCGATGGGCTGGACACCAGCCAGGATGTGTGGAGTCAGCTGCAGCAGAAGGAGTCCGACCTTCTGTTGGCGGCGGAGCTCGGGAAAGCGCTCTTGGAGAAGAATGAGGAGTTGAAGAAGGAGCAGGAGCGCGTCGTCGAGGAGTACTCCAAAAAACTTGAGGTGAGTTCGGAGTTCAAGTTTTTTTTTATTACATTTCACCGGTGCTACAAAACCTGTGTAGATTTTATCGAGTGCTGGGAAAACTGAAAAAAAACCTTCAAAAAAAGAGCGTACTCCTTCCTTAAAGGCCGGTATCTCATTTGTGATACTCCTGGTATTGCAGGTGTCCATAACATAAAAAAAAACTGGGGAACTTGGTAGATAAAATTTATTTCCTGCAAGATGAAAGCGGTGCTCAAAGTTGCAAATGGACTGTTTTTTTTCATGGCTAAAGCTAATTTTCTACAAAAAAGTGGACTTGTCTCGCAGACAGACGTAAAACGAGACTCAAACCTGTTCCTAACAGTTCGTTATCCGGAAAAATGGACTGTGATTTGAGACAAAATGTAAGAGGTATCATGCATGAGCAAAATATTCATCATCAGCCTATGAATATCCTCACTGCTGGGGCACAGGCCTTTCCTAAAGATGGAATAGGGAGATTGGACCATGACCCACCACGCGGGCCCAGTGCGGATTGGCGGGTGCTAACGACTGCAGATGCAGCCGGGACCAACGGCTTAACGTGCCTTCCGAAGCACGGAGGAATTCGAGATGGAAGATTTTTGGTCCACCATCCAATGACTGACCACTGCGAAAGTTGCTTAACTTCAACGATCGCAGCCGAACACGCTAACCACCTGCGCTATCGGGCTCCTCGTAAAATATTATTTCCGTTTAAATTTTAATGTTATTAGCTAATAAATTGGTTAAGTTTCAGGAAGATACAATTCTTAAAACCACTCAGTACACCTTTTTTACGAGTAAAGCCAGTTAAAAATCTAATTACGATGCTTTGATGAGTGTTAAGGATTGCTTAGATAAAAAGTAATCTAGTTTTGTACCATTGTTTGGAAACGTTAGGCAAAAAAAAGTTACACCTAAAATTTGCAGTCTCTAACACATTAGGACATTGTAATAAAACATTGGTTAACTATTGGTTTTTTAATTAAACCTTGGAGGTAAATTTAGAAATTTGATTGTTTTTAACTGTATATCTAATTATTGTGATAATGAACCAAAAAACCATTAATTATCGTGACGACATGGACAGGTTAGTAATAAAAATTCCCAAAATAGTGGTGGCAAAATTACAGACGTATTAAATTTTCTAAAATAATAATATATCTTTAATAACTATTGCCTTTGTTGCGTTTGCTCCTGTTATTCATTATCGGATTGCGTTATTTATAATGCTTATTATTGTTAATTACTTACAAAACCGTTGTTTTCATATATTATTCATTGTTGTTGATTGTTCTGATGGCTGGAGTGGATATGTTCATTACATAAGAAGTAAAAATATAAGAACTTGAATATTAACGTTGTGCATTTTTGATATTTTGGAATGGTTAGGGAATAATTTTGCACGAATTTCTTTAATTATCAGTATAAAAGTACTATCATGTATGTGGGAGAATACAATATTTATTTATTGCACTATCGTACACAAACATGACAATTTATATTACATTAAAAAAGTTTATCTCTCAGAAAAATCAACTTACATGAATCAGGTTTAAGCGCAATTGGCGACATATATTATAAAAAAAATGCATTTTCTTCGCAATAAAGCTGCCACGTGGACGTCCTAGATAAAGACTTATTCCTATTATAATACGATAAAACAAAATATTACTATGATTCGTGCAATATATTGAAAGTCAACAACCTGTCCAATTTTATTGTGTGTCATGATGCGATCAGCCCACGTGTTTAACCTAACGCGAGTTAAACATTTTTTACCCATACAAAAAAAAGTGTTCAACGCCGCTAAAGAAGTTTCCACTTCAAAAAAAGCGATTTCCTAAAATTTCGACATTATTCTTGTTACTACGGCTTCTTAGTAGGCTCCATTTTGACAATTATACAATTTAAAATAAATCAGTTTTTCCCACTTCATACATAAAAGTGTTTTGATATTAAAATAACAACAGGTTAATAAATTTGTAGTATGCTTCTATAAATATAGACATTCACTATGCTTATTTATAGAGACCCGTAGTCAAAGGGTGAAAACGGAACTATGTATATTATTAACCATTCGCTGTCTGTCCGTAAGTCCATCCGTCTGTCAACGGATTGTATCTCATGAACCGTAACAGGAAAATAAATATTTCTTTTTATAGAACAAAGAGGAATGCTACAAATGAAATTTAAATATAATGGGTTTGCATCGAAACGTACCTTTTTTCGGTGTTGTTATGAATTCCATTGATTGTTTTGCAGATATTTTTCATTCTTGCAAGACGATACAGTATTGTGTACGAGCTCAACTTACAGTTTACTCTTTTTTTTCTTAAATCATACTAACAAAATGTCCCCCTGAATGAAATTTTACTTCTTTTTGTATTTACATATTTGTTTTCGAATCAATTTGTTATCAGAATTATTCTAAACTAGCGGCCCGCCCTCGCTTCGCTTCGGCGTAGAGCTGAAGTGTTGACTACAGTTTTTGTTCTCAGGCTTGTATTATATACAATGACATTCATCTATGATTCTTCTTATTCCTGCATGCAAAGTCTCAGCCCGATCGGTTTAAAATTGACAAAGTTTCATACAAACTTTCATTCCCTATTTTATCCCCTTGGGGGTAGAATTGATCAAAATCCTTTCTTAGCGGATGCCTACCCTATGTCATAACATCTACCTGCATGCCAAATTTCAGCCCGACCCGTCCAGTGGTTTGGGCTGTGCGTTGATAGATCAGTATGTTAGTCAGTCACCTTTGAGTTTTATATATATACTTGTAGATGTAAAATCCTGTTTGCGGCAATATTTAAATTCTTAATTCTTTCAATGAGTTGGTTTGTAAAGTGTAAATGCTGGCCGCCTTGCCACTTGTTTGATCAAATTACATGAAAGTCTTAATGTTCAAGTAATTTGATCAAACAAGCAAATTCAAACAGTTTGATCAAATTTTTATGAATATTATGTGGGATTTTACCAAAATGAGTTGCCAATTGACATCAAGAAATAAGAATTCTCTAATTATTGTTGATGTGAAAACTGTTTGAAACAGATCAAATTACTCGAACGCCAACTATAAGTCGTATTACAAATATCGTTCGTTAACTATCGATTAAATATGTAAAAAACCTAGTTAAAATATTTTACGACATTGAAAATAAGACCATCGCAATGTTTCAGTTGTGTGCCGTACATATACTCGCATATAGTATGTAGTAAATATCAGCGCGCCAATCACTTTTATCGCAAAGACTTTTATTATTCAGATAACAATAGCTATGAATCATAATAACAACATAGCATGTAACCGCTCGATGTTTAAATCTAAAGAAAATGTTATTAGAAAAAATTCTACGCGGACCAGCAGACGGTAAAGGTATTCATTTGACATTGTGGGTTATCTTTAATACGAAGAGATGGCGCTGCCTTGCAGGATAAGAAAGGCTAGATAGAATTCGACACGGCCATCAGGGCCGCGGTAGCATAATGGTCTGTGCATTCGCCCAGATAGCGAAGGGTGCGGGTTCGAGTTCGAGCTGCCTGGTCCACGTGGAATTTTTTCTAGTAACATATTCAACAAATAATATACATACCTTACTTCTGCTAAACAATATCGAGCACCAATGATTTTTTTTTCTTACTAAATGGCTTCGCACTTCTTGTGCATGTAGCCATTGTCAAGTTTTAAAATGTTTACAAATACTATAGCACTCGTGGTTAAAGTAATAAATCAAGTCAAAGTAAGTGGCAGTCAAGTCAATCCCCCTTTCCCTATGTTTCAGTAAAAGTGTGGGGATTTACTGGAACCTCCCCGTGGACTTCTTGAGGGAACGTCAAAAGACACTTTCCGCTATTTTGTTTCACTTGCCAACACTTATGCATGTTCCCGAACACTTAGTGGTTAATAATCCACCATTATTAGACACTAACATCCGCCACAATACAATTTTTAACAAGAAAAACAAAACTGCTAAAGTGACGCTTCCCGATCCCGCCAAAAAGTCCCTTTAATAAATTTGTGACAAAGTTAACAGAATTTTCTTTTTCTAATACTAAAAACTACGTCCCGAGCACGGAAGATTATCCATACTAATACTAAAATGCGAAAGTGTGTCTGACTGTCTGTAACCTCTTCACGCTTGACCCGCTAAACCGATTCAGATGAAATTATGTATAAAGATACTCGTAATTTGACTCCCAGAAAAAGAGTATAGGATAGTTTTTGTCCTAGAATTCACCCTTTGAGCGGGTATAAAAGTACCTTTACCATGTTTAAACCTTCAGTGAACATGATAGTCAGATCAGAAAATGACGAAATAAAAAAGGTGACGAAAACCACATCTAAAATGAGAACATACGTACAGATAGACACAACAGGACTTTGTTCTATAGATATTAGGTAACTAGCTTTTGCCCGCGGCTTCGCTCACGTTACATTTTGATTTCGAGTGAATGAATGATTGTCAAACTTCAAAAATTCGGAACCTTGCCTAAAGGGACTCCTTTTAATAATGTATTTTAATTATTATATTTTATTTTCTAAGGTTTTTAGTTTTAGGTTCGTTGTTATAGTATATTTTTTGTTTTAAGCTAGTATTAGATAAAAGTATATTGGTTAATTATATTATTGTTAAGTTAAGATATGTAATATTTGCATATTTATCAACCCTAAATATAATAAAGCACACATTATGTGTGCCAAATTTCAGCGCAGTCCATTCAGTTGTTTGAACTGTGCGTTGGCAGATCAGTCAGTCAGGTTGCCTTTCATATTAAAAAGATGATATCGAAATTAAGTCTAGGCACGTGTAATATAAATATAGTTTTAACTATGCAAAAAAAAAAAAACACTAAAAGCCATTTAGCTAAGACGGCGCAAACTAAACTCGGTGCTTAGAAAGTAAATCTGTAGAAATAATTCTAGACAACAGCAGTTAAATGAAGGTTTCTTGCTGTTTTTTGCG